TGAACTACAAAAGCTACTCACAGAAATAATCCAGGAGAATTTTCCTAATTTAGCAAAAGGTAAAGATACTCAGATGTATGAGGCATACAGGACCCCGGCTACCTACAACCCAAACAGAGCAACACCCAGGCATATAATAATAAAAATTCCAGAAATTCAATACAAGAACAGAATATTAAAAGCTGTCAGAGACAAGAAACAGACCACTTACAAGGGAGCACCCATCAGAATTACAGCAGATTTCTCTGCACAAACCATCAAATCACGAAGAGCGTGGGGGGAAATAATTCAAGCTTTGAAAGATAATAATCTCCAGCCAAGATTGAGATATCCTGCACAACTGTTCCTGGAAATTGATGGAAAAACAAGGTGCTTCCAGGATAAAGAGGAACTGGAGGAATTTGCAACCACCAATTCAACTCTACAGAAAGTATTGCAGAATATTCTAAAAAAAGAAAAATACAAAGAACCCAGAAATAGTGGCGGGGAGGCCACAATGAATGGAGCAGAGAACAAAATGAAGAAGACAAACTGACAGCTACTGACAGAAAAAGAGCTCAACAGAAATGAGACAGAGAAGATTGGATGATAGGAACAGCTATTTTGGAGAAAATGACATCTTAATAGGTAATACTGATTTAGTATCATCTTGTTTTGAAGTCTCATCTAGCTTTTGTTCTTCTGTCTCCAATGGTCTAAATAGGTTGTATCTTATTGGATTTTATTATGTATGATAGTATAATCAAAAACCTTTTAAAGACAAGGAGATTATACAGAAACCATTGCTCATTTTCTGTTAGTCGATTCTAAATACTCTGTAATGCTGTCATTCTCTTAAATGGTTTTACATTGTTTTGATATACTTAATGCTACAGTATACGAAGTTGTACTCAAGGACTTCAAGGAAAGAGTCAATATGGTAACTACTTTTGGGTCGGAATTATCTGGTGGTGAAACACTATTCTGCTTAAATGGTTATGTTTTGATCTGTGCTGTTTCGCTGTTATGCCCTCCTTTATCTCAATCTCCACTCCATTATTTACTTTTTTATTTTTATCCGTTTAATTAAAGGGAAAAAATAGCAGGATATATTATAGTAACCTACTTTGACTTTCTATTATCTCGATTTGAAGCCCTGTATTACTCTCACCATTGTGTTTTTGACTGATGTTCCCCTATTCTGTTTTGTTGGATAGTATCAGGTTCGAAAGTTTAGGCATCAGCTGTGAAGATAATGAGATTCATTATAACACCTATTCTCGTTGACTTTTATCTACTTTTGAACACCTACAATGTCTCCAATGGTTTGGTTTTGTCGGTTTTGTTCTTTACTGTTTTGTTCAATTTTATTATAACTAATGATATAGGCAATTCTATTAGAGATAGCGGGAGGCATTATGGTAACCATTGTTGATCACCTTGTATTATGTTTTTACATTATCTATTATGTCCACCCTTTTGACTTGACCGATTCTGTTCTGTTATGTCACATTTGGTTTTAATCTCTTCCAAAATAGCAATAAGAACCGTGGGAGCAATGAAACCCCAAATGTGTAATAGTCATTGTACAAAAGAGAAGAAAAGAAAGTGCTCTAAACTATATAACTGCATGTATATTTAAGTGTATAAGATAGAAAATGATATCACAGAGTTTTATTGGATCATTGAACAGAACTGTTTGCAGTATCATTGTTGGAATGTCCACTCTACAAGCTTTAATTCTGTGACTTGAACAATTATTTCTAAGATGGCAATATGTAATCCATTAACTAGTGATTTCCTACTGTTCATTTTTTTTCTGTAAATCTGTATAACTTGTACCCTTTCACTGTTTTTTTTTCTTTTCTCCTTAAATAAAATTAAAAAAAAAAAAAAACAGAATACTAAAAGCAGCCAGGGAAAAGTAGCAGATTACGTACAATGGGAAAATTATCAAAATGACAACAGATTTATCAACACAAACTCTCCAATCGAGAAGGGCCTGGGGGGAAATAGTCCAAGCTCTGAAAGAAAATAATGTGCAACCAAGACTGATATACCCAGAAAAATTCTCTCTCAAAATTAGTGGAGGAATAAGATGTTTCCAATACAAGGAGGAACTGTGGGAGTTCGTGGCCACCAACCCAATCCTACAGAGAGTGCTGAAGGACATTCCAGAGAGAGAAAGGAAGGGATACCAGGATTACAGCAACAGTGGCAGAGAGGCCTCAATGAATGGTCAGACAGTGGAATGAGGGAGTAAGGTGGACAAATTATAGCAGTAAAGTGGAATAGCAGACATGAGGCAGAGACGGTAAGCTATAATCTTTAGTATGGATAGCTTTGATACACTATAAAAATGCAGAGATCATTGTTAATAGTATATCAGGATTTAAAAGACACAGTAGTCTTATCACCTGTTTAGACTGAATTTAATTTGTCCTCTCATATCAGATTTGAGGGCACAGACATCTGACCCAAAAATAGCAGGTTATACCATAGTAACTATCCTTAATTTCCTATTAACTTAAACTGAAACCCTGTATTACTTACATTGTCTTACTATGACTGATCTTATTTGAATCTGATTCATTAGACCATGGTATTGCCTTGGCTGATTTTATTTGAATTTGGTATGCTTGATTAGTATCAACCCTAAAAGTAGAGGCAACTACTCTGAAGATGACAAGATGTAAGAGATATCCATACCGGTTTTGATTATGTACAGCTCTCTAGTCCTACAATGTTTTCAAAGTTATGTTTTTTATAAAAATAGCTATGTAATACTATGCTTAACTATATTAAGCCTGATGATGTAGACAAGTCTTTTGAAAATAACAAGAGACAGCATAGTAACTACAGTAGATCACCTAATATTGTGGTCTTATCTGTCTTTTTCATTGCATGTTTTTCTATGAATTTATTTTGCTGTCTTGTTATAATTTGTTTTTCCCTATAATACAGAGGGGATAGATATACATGTAGAAATTCACACATGGAAGAATTTTTTAAACTATTCACGAGAACAGATTATATAATGCAAGATGTAATGAACCGATACTCTGAAGAAGATACACTAAGAAACCCAATGCTAATTTTGTAGCATTATGATATAAAATCTAGCAATACTATTACTCACTGTTCAGAGTGATATTAGTCTAGTCTCTTAAGTTCAATGTCAGCATCCGTAAAGATAAAGACAGCTACTATGAAGAGAAGGAGAGACACTATGGTAGTCGTTATTGTCTTCACCAACATCAGATCTTAAAGACCTAAAAAGCCTTCATCATCCTGTAATGATTTGATTAGTTTTATAATATGCAGTGTGTATTTAATATGTGTGAAGATTGGGACAACTCTTTGGAAGAAATCTAGAGACAATAAGATAGACAGTGAAGATCTCCAGTGGACTTGCTTTGAAATCTGTATTTCTTTAAATTGTTTCTTTTTGAACTGTTTTGATATGTTTAATCTTACCCTCTTTAAGATAAAAAACAAGTGTGTAGGACTGATAAACATATTACTAAAATTTGTTGGATCATTGAACAGAATTGTTGGCAGAGTCACTATTTAAATATCACTTCACATACTTTAATTTTGTAACCGGAACAACTATTTCTAAGATGACAATATGTAACTTATCAACTGGTGATTTCTTATTGTTTATTTTTCTGTAATTCTGTATTATTTCTATCCTATTTTTCTCCATGATTTTTTTGTTTGTTTATCTTTAATAAATAAAAAAAGAAGAAACACAGGCTGTGATGATAGCTATGGAGGTGAAATGCAATTGGATGCCTGTGGTGCTTTGGTGTTTCACTAATATGGTAGGTCTGTGACCAGTGGTCAGATCTTAGGTTCAGAGGATAGTGGTACACAGTGCGACATCTAGAGTAAATCTGCTTCTGAGGGTTGCAGCCATTGCTGATTTCCTTTGGTCTTGTTTTGGAAGTGCTATACCATTTCCATTGTTTTGTTGGCATGGGTTTTATTCTCTTTTGCTTTGTTTGATTATGTTAAATCTGAATTCATGAGTAGCTATTTCAAAGACAGAAAGATATATTATGGCAGCAATTTATGATTTACTACTGTCTTGTTTTGAAGTCCTTTATTGCATGCATTGTTTTGTTTTTATGGTTTCTATTCTGTTCTGTTCTGTTTGATTTTTTACTAAGTCCGAATTTATCTGCAGCTATTTTGAAGATTTCAAATGGCATTGTGGTAACTATTGTTGATTTCACAATGTTTTGAAGTTCTGTATCTTTTACAATGGTTTCTTTTGATAGGTTTTATTCTGTTTTATCCTCTTTAAAATAAAAAAAAAAATGTCTAGACAAGGTTCAGCTCCTGAATGTCTGGCCATGCTTGACAAATGAGAGTTCAACTGAGCAGGCCCAATGGGAACAGCCTGATGACTACGTCTTCAGATTGTCGTGAGCTGACAGAAAGTAGGCGGGAGCAGGCTCTTAATGCTTCTGTGCTGAGAAATTTCTTGAGGGAAGATCTGTTCTTTTTTATAGCCCTAATGGATGGAATAATCTTTCCTGAGAAACTGCCATTGTTGTGCCATCATGCTTTCCACCATTAGATGTACTAAACATTTCTTCAATACTAAGAAAAATATAAAAAATTGCTACCATGTTTGGATAGGCTTCTTTCTCTTTCCTCTTCACTGGATTTGAAGATATGGTGTTGGGGTGGGTGGGGGAGACAGTGTTAAAACTTGCTTGTGTTTTATCAAAACTATGTGAGTCTGTCCGTCTTTCCCTATGTGCAAAGTATCATATATTCAAAGATATATATATATATATATATATATATATATATATATATATATAACAGTTTCTAATTGCACCACTGTAGTCAGAAAGATTTTTTTACCCATTCTAGGGTCAGAATTATTAATGAACAACAGGTAGAACCCTTAATATCTACTAATCAATGCACTATTACAGAATTTAAAAAGATGAATGTTCCTCCAATGAGTCCTACTTCCAAATCATTAGACAAGTACATTTCAATAAAGACATCAATCAGTAAGTTTGATATTTTTATTTTTAGAATATTAGCAATAATGCATTAGTTTGGGATAACATTATTAGTATTAAAGATTGTTCTGATATTTTTAGAGTACAGAATACATGTAAATTGACTTAAAGAGACACATTTTATTGAAACAAATTGAAGCATACTTAAAAGATTTCATTGAATTATTCCCAGTTCTAAGGAAAATGTCTCAACTAAATGAATCCTGAAAGAAAATAATGTCTATTTCTTCCTCAAAACTGCTACTAAAAAACCATTGAAATTGTACTTTGTAAGATCAGTATGTGTGCATGTACTAGTAGTGTGTTTGTGATTCTGTTTTGCCTGTTTTACTGTTTTGATGATCACTTTGTTTCCTATGAGGCCTTCATCCTTACTTCAACTAACTGAGCCACTGCAAAATTTTCTTATCCACCGTAACTAATACAACAGCTTATTTTATTTTTCAAATATTTCCAATAGTGCTTCTTATTTTGGGTGATATTTTTGATGAAGAAAACCTAATTTACACTAAATTGAAACTGTACTTTTTCACCAGTGCTGCTCGAAGCCTGCTAGAACTTTTATGCATCAAATCACAGATAATGGAAAATTGGCTTTTGGAAGTACCCCTAAATGCTTCTGTGATGGGCTCGAGTTTCCAGGTGCTTCTGACTCAAGATGAAGTGGATATATAATTTTAGTTGTCTATTACAAAGTACACTATGAAATTCCATTGCTTCTTTCATTTTTATTTAAGCTGCCAAACAGTGTAAAGATTTAGATGAGTTTGCAACTCAATTTGAACTGATTATCACCGATGAGCCACTTCAAATATTTTCTACTCAGGTATTCAGCATTTTAATCTCTCTTCTTGGTACGTGCCCACCTTTCTTTCTTAGTTAGTGGCTTTTCCTTCAAATTTCAATCACACATTATAGTCATTATTGTATGGTTACACCAGGACAGCTTTGCAGAGTCTGTTAACAATTGCTTATTTACTGAGCTGTTATAAGGAAGGTACTATGGAAGTTAGTTTTCTAAAATACTTTTCCCAAAATTATTGCCTTAAAATATGATTTTAAGCTAAAATTATTTTTAAGCTTCACTTTGAGTAGATAATGATTATAATATGAATTTTTAAAGACTTACTTCTATATATACTTAGCTAAGAAAAATTTCTGAAATTCAAACATAGCAAGCTCTATATGCTCAGCAAAAAGGAACATGTACAAAGTTCCCCTATGGCCTCTTGGTATATAAATCTATAATAAAACTACTTCTAAGGAAATACTTCGATATAAAAATTCATTTTCTTTTTAAAATTATTGCATTAAAAAGTTATTTGAGTTGTAAACACTCAAGATAAACCAGTTTTAGGACCACGTCATTGTGTCACAGTAACAGAAATGTGAATCACATTCATTTTTCTTTAATTCATGGATTCAGGTTCTCCTATTTTCTCATCTTTGAGTTACTATACTTTTAATATAAGTGTTTGGAAAATCGAAATCCTCATTTCTTATACCAGTGTGCCACATAATGATGCACTAACGTGAAATAACATCTAGTCAGCACTTTTTTATTTTGGTTAACCAGGTAGTTTGAAAATTATTATCCCACTAGCACTATCTTCAGATTTCTGAAGCAGAACTAAAAGGAACTAAAATGAGGTATACTTTGCAATAGTTCTGTTGTTCTCTATTTCTCCAGAACTAAGCAGAGTTTTGAGGACAGATATGCAGAAATAATGCTTTTTATCAGGTAGCTCTTAGCATAGGTGATGAAACATTACCTATCTGTGGCATCTATAATATATTTGGGTGATAGGATTACTTTTACGACTGTAATTTTTCAGATTCAGTTACATGAAGAAAATAAAATTTCTCTCAAAATCTATTCACTTCTTTATTTATAGCTTTGTATCTATATATGGAATTATCCCTGAAATAATTTTAAATTAATTTCTCATTTTACAGCAGTAGAAACCTGAAAATTTATGTATTTAGTTGATATTTTTGTTGCTGTATATTATTATTTTATTTTGCTTAGTAATTGTAGGAAATGAACATATAGTTTAATCTGGGATTAAATATTTGGTACTGTTCAATGGTCACACTAGTGACCAGAATGTAATTTTGAAAAATTAACCAATTTTAAGCTTAGAATTATATGTCTAAAGTGTTAAAGGAAATGCTCTTTATACAGTACATATGCATTGGAGTTCAGTCCTGTATTCAGGTTTGCAAGTGTATTATTCGGTGATTTACAGAAACAGCTACTGCACATCTTTGGAGAGTTTGAGTAAAACCAGTCATTTGAGAGTTTTGTATTTTCTTATAAAACAAAGGAAACCATTATGATACGGAGTAAAACCACAACTGATTTCTAGCTATGGGCTTAGTAGTGAGGGAATAGGTAACTTTTCCTCACTTGTCACTGCAATTTTTTCTGCGCATATAGACTCTTCAACCTTAATGTGGTAATAGCATAGTCATTACATCTTTTGTTTCATGACCTAACCAGTGGTGGAAACCTATGACATGCATGCCACAATGGGCTGTTTGTTATCACTGAAAGCTCTAAAAGGTCTGACATCACTGACCTAACCTTTATTTTTTCACATGATGTTGGAAAAATTGTATATGGTTTGTCAGTATTTTTTTTCTTTCTGTAAAATCCTACTCAATGACAATTCTTTTGAAAGCTTCCTTTAATCTACTTATAAAAGATTTCTTTATATTGCAAATTTGAATAAAGATACCATCAACTGTTTTAAGAGTAATATTTGAATTCACAGTAACAAAAGTTACAAAGTTTGTGCAAAAGTTATTGTACACCTTTTGGAGTACATAAAGATGGCTATAGTAAATTTTATATATAAAGCTGCGTTTCTTGTTAAAACTATTCTGTGCTACATTTGAAGTTAAGCTTCTGATTTAATTTTTCTTTAATAAAAAACTGAATGCTCATTTAATCTCAGTAAACTGAAGATGTAGCAATATATATATATATATATATATATATATATATATATATATATGAGATTTTTTTAAATGTTGTAACAAAGTTTGGAACCTTTTAAACAGAATAATTGCTGCGAAGCTCTTCAAGTCTTCCAAGGGTCATAAAATACACTCGGCTGTGGCGATTATGCAGAGTAGAGGTAAAGAACAGCTTTAAAAGAAAGCAAAAGACACTATCAGTACATATTCAATATATTGCAACCAAATATTTAGTAATCAACAGTATTAAGTACTAATATACAGATATAATTAAAATTTATCTGCACTGTTTAATTAAAATATTAATCCATATTTTTTCAGATAGTTTTCCTCAAATTAAAAAGCAAGAAATTAGTTTGGAGTTTCAGTTATATAGTTAAAATGACCTTTTACCATATACTATATACTTGCAATTGATATAGTACAAATCATTTTTATAGGTGGCATTCATCAGCTGAAGTTTATGTTTTGTTTTGATTAACAATTATTTTATTTAAAAATCTAGTTTTACTTAGATTGGATTTTTTCAGTATGAGGAAAAATTAATTTTTATGATATTTACTATTAACTGCCAAAATTTAAAAAGTCACTGAAATTTTCTACTTTGTATAGTTTTCTATTTCAGCAAAATAAATTGACATTAATAGTTCTAAAATGAATGTGAGCCAGTCACTTAGAGGACCTGTTGTACAAATAAGTACTCTTCCATAAAGAAAATTAAAAAGAACATGTTCATAAATATCAAAGGAGCCTCATAGATAGGTCTGATTTTTTGACACTCAAAATGGTTATGCTTCAAAGATTAAGAAATGTAATAATAAAGAGGATAAGATATGCTAGCTGTCCTTAGCTTAGCACATTTTATATGCCACACAATCTGGGAGATGTTTCTACACACGCATTATGTTAATTTTCATACCTGTTTGCAAAACATTTATTAATATTCCTATTTTGGAGATCAAAGAACTAAGGATCAGGAAGATCAAATTTCTCAGGTTTTCATACCTATTAACATGGCAGCCAGGACTGTATCTATCTGACCTCAAATACTAGTTCTTTTCATTCTATCTCTGTGCTTTGCAAATTTGCATCTTTCCTTGCTGTGGAGTCCTTTAATTATGTTAACATTAACTTAAATCCTCTACAATCTCTTTTTGTTTTGTCCTTTGAAACAGAGACTCTCTATGCAGTTCAAGCTGGCCTTAAACTCACTATGTAAACCAGGCTGGCCTCAAACCTGTGGCAATCCTCCTATCTAGTCTCCTTAATGGTGTGATTACAGGCAAGCAACATCTCAAATGGCTTCAGTCTCTTCTAAATAAGAACGTTTCTTTTGCTTAGTAGAATTACTTATTCAAGTGTTATATGTCATGTCAAGTCTGACTATTCCTGGTTTTATAGAATGAACTATTTCATCTAGCTATTTGAAGTAGTTGTTGAAATGTATTAAATTATATAAATAATTGCAAAATCTCATTTTTCTTCAGCTTTCCTGAGGTGAGGAGGGTGTGGAAAAAAAAGAACTCCCGAACACTGTTTGTGGGGCTGCAATTAGCACAGATGTTGTGGAGAAGAGTATACATATTTTTCAAAATACTGAAAATAAACTTTTCATTCAATCCAGATATTCCACCTCTGGGAATATACCATAAAAAAATGAAATCACCATATGAGACAGATACTTCCATGCTCATGTTTTATTATTGCACTACTGACCATAGTTTTAAAATCAGGTTATCTACACATAAACTGATGAATAAAGAAAATATAAATGCAAAATGGAAAATTATTCAGCAGTAAAAAAGAATGAAATCCTATCATATGAAGTCAAACAACTGGAAATAGAAAACTTGATGCTAAGTGAAATAAACCACACACAGAAAAACAAGTGCTTCATGTTCTCTTTCATATGTGGAAGTTAAAAAACATTAACTTGAATGTAGAATGGTGATTACTAGAGGTTACGCAGAATGCAAGAGTGGTAGATAAATAGAAGTTGGACTTGACCTCTGATGTTGTTTGTGTGTGCTACCATATCACTCTGGTTCTCATTAATAGGTACGATTAATACGTATTAATAAAAGACATTATTTACACAAATATTTGCTCTTGTTTTTGTTTAAAATATTTTATATGAATATAATATAAAATTTTATATGAATATTTTATATGAATATAAAAAGAATGGTAGATCAGGCAAAATAAAAGAGTTTATACTGAATAAGTAATGGTTAAATTTTAAAACATAACTGCAAATTTTTACCTTTTTGAAAATAAAGCTGTCTTGCAACAAAATTTGATCATTAAAAAGTCAATGTTTCTACTTTAGAATGGAATACTGATTTTGCCAATGGCATGTTAATTTGAAAAATATAACACAAACATCTTTATGGCCAGAAACAAAATAACATATACTTATTTAGTTAATTTCAATTGCTGTTTTAGTATCACTCTAACCAAAGGGTGTACATTGTACCTTGTCGCCTCGGATACATAGAAATCTCAGTGTCTTGATTGACCTGGCCTTCAGCTCACTTTCCAGTACACTTGATTGCAAAGAGCGCACTTCAATAGCTTTCTGGCTCCATCCTGTGGTCCTCTGTGTACACTCAAAAGCTAAAATATCAATGAGAAATATAATGAAAAAATATTTTTCCAGTACTGACTGAAAATTACCAGAGTTGATGTTTGATTATAAAATCAAATTAGTTATTCATGAAATTGCCTTCAAAATTGAAATTAAATTGTAAACATATTTTGAAAAATGGCTGTCCTGTAATAACTTAATAAGTTTAATTTCTGAATAGAATTAACATCAAGTCAGAGTATAAAGAAAATAAGAATCAGTAGCCTGATTAAGGGAAATAAGTAATTCTATATGGATTTGTTATTTTTGCCCATCTGACTTCAGTAAAAAGTAACAACCAAACAGCAAATTTTTTCTAAACTGGATGTAAACGCTACTTGCTAAACACAAGAACAGTTCACATGACATCACAAAATTTCTACCTTAGTCCTGCAACACATGAATTTGTCACTTAACCTAGCTACTAAGGTAGCATGCTTTCTGAAATTGGAATCAGGGATTTGGAACTGAGAATACTTAGTAAAACTGCCAGTTTTTGCTAAGCCTCTCTATATTTGCTTAGAAATGCTGAACAATGATCTTCCTATCAAAAATATTTGTCATTCATCAAGGAAATATAATATTTATAGTAGGAAAATTTGGATCTGAGTTAGTTTTAAACAGCAAAACAGTTGTTTTAAAACAGAAAAAGAACAATTTCTTTAACATTAGAGCTATAATGTACGTTCTTATTACTAAAAATTAAAAACACCATATGACTGTAAGTGTATAACTTATTTTATGTGTAAGTGTTTTTCAAATTCCAGTAAAGCAAAGTAATCTTCTTGTTCTAGATAACAAATCATCCTAAGCACAAAAATTGGACAAGATAACTTTTCAAGAGCCTACTGTCTCCTCTGACTGCCTAGTGACATAAATATAGGGGTATCGTCAGTTTCCCAGTTGAACTGAATTGCCTTCTTCTTGTTAGCAATTAGCATATTAATCACAAAAATACTACTGTGAAGCTTATTACATGATTGATTACTTTTACTCCTGCTATCCCAGATCTGTCAATTATACTGTAAGCATTACTCTTCTGTCACTTAAAATGGTTTTAAACCCTCTGTGAATTCTTGACTGTTTGAAGAAACTGGAGCAGGTTTTCAGGACAATCCTGAATATTGAATATATATGCAAAAAAACAAAATATTCTGCAGACACAATGCAAAGTGCCATCACATCATAGAGAAAACATTCATCAAAATTAGTTATTTGAAATTGGTCCTTAAAGCTACATGAGAATCACTTTTACCTACCCTGTAGAGATTTCTGGGACTGCTTATCTCTCTTGAAAAACTACCTCAACCCTCCCCACACTGCCCCTCCCACACTTAGCGTTTTCCTTCAAAGTCCTTTTCTTTGGAAATTATTATCTTAGATTTTAATAATTTCACCCCACATTTTTACTTTTCCTATGCATTCTGGTCTCTATCTTGGATTCACCATATAGTCACCAAGTCTCAGAAACATACACAAGCACCCTAAAGTATTTGAGTTTCCCAAATCATAAGGCCTGTATTTTTAAGAAAAGATGTCCTGGTCAGAAGAGAATAAAAAGACAATTTTCTTTATGTGGCCATCAGATTGGTGCGTTATATACATTCCAATTGTATCTGTTTTTTTTTTTTTTTCTGAATGATTTGATTCTTGACAGCAATACCTCATTAAACATAACATTACTGACTGTATGAAACAGAAAATTTTTGCTGTTCTGTTATGACATGTGTGTCATCAATAAATTAATGCAGTGGAAAGATGTGTTTGCAAAATCTGTGTAAAAACTGCAAGCAAAGAGATTTAAAGCAAAATTTTAGATTATTGAGGAAATGAATAAGGTCATGTTTTAATAATAGAACACAACGATCACCTAAGATACCTAAAATTGATCTCTGTTTAGGAGTCATGTGAATTTGCTAAGTATATAAGAAACACTTGCTTCACCTTACTAAGAGAAAAAGGTGTGCAAGACTGTAGAAAAACCCTCAGTTTTGTTTTAAGATAAAATAATCATTCAAGAAACTTTTACTTAGGAGACATTTTCCTTAAAATATTTCTCTGGAATTATCTCAAAGAATGAGGCATTTTATACGTACCTACAGAAGATGGTATGTCTTTCCACACTTCAAGGATGTTCTTGAAAAGTTGTTCATTAGCTTCCACAGAGAGAGCTTCAGCATTGAAGGTGAGCATCATGCCAATTCCCAAGCCATCCGGCAGAATGATGATATTCTAGGGTATAATGATTTCCAGGGGCTAGAATTATGTTTCATGGAGATTTATACGTCTAACATTTTTATCACTACTGTTTTAATTGAAGCAGCTTATCTAAGCATAGAGACCAAAATAGGTTCAAAGTACAGGGAGTAAGGTAACTTCTGTTTCCCAATTAAACAGCATGCTACCAACCACTTGCAGAACCGCTTACCTTATGAAATGTAGTCATGATTGTTTAAGATTTACCTTCATATTTAAGAATAAAGATTTGTTTGAAAAAATAAAAATTTATATCCAATATATTGAGTTTTCTTGAACCTCTGTAATATTAAAGATTTGGCTTTAAAATTCATTTTAACAATTAATGAATATTTTAGCAATGGATATGTGAGCCAAGCAAAAAATATAAGCCATTGGTTATCAGCAAATTCATTAAAATAAAAAATGGAAAATAACCTAAATATTTTAAGCTTAAAATGTTTAACAAGACTAGATTTTATGATATGCTTTACAGCTTTAAATATAACAGGCATCCCTCTTTTGCAAAACATATAGGATTTTATATCTAATTTTATGTTATTAATATATACACAATACACAAATTCAGGAACATTTCTAAACTTCATGATGCCTAAAATAATGGCGACAAAATTTTCTTAAACTGATATTGTCACATTGACAATGATTCCCTGAAAAATAAACAATTATTTTCCTCTACTATTTCTTCAAATTAGTAAGTTACAGAAAAAAAAAATAAAAGTTCAGAAGCTATACTTGCCAAACCCAGCATACTCAGGCCAACAGTTTGAGTCCATGTCTCAGCAACAACAATCCTTAAAACTAAAATGGGGATCCAGAGGCGAAAAGCAATTTTAATGCGTTCTCTGGGCACTTGCATGAGCAATTGAATCAGAAAAGAAGTAAAGGAAGAAAATAAAAGAAATTGCAAGAAACAAGGTTGTCTCAGTAAAATCGGTTTCTAATAAAACTTGATTGCTGATAATCCAAACAGCCTCTGATTTAATTCACTTCCCAGATACACTTTGGCAATACGGCTTTTTGTAGCATTACAGATGTGTAAATCAGCACTCTTGGAAAAATATTTTCAGTACATTCTGTTGCAGAAAACACCTTCCCATCTCTTATATTAGGGCCCTTTCTTTTTTATTGGATCAAGACTCTAGGGCATTTATCTAAATCTAATTTTGAATAAGGTATCCTAATTGGGTCAGACAATGATTTTTAAGCTCATCTTTTATTCTAGCTCTCACAGTAATTAATGGATTGCTTTAATAGGAAATATGTTTTCTTGCTTATTGGTTATGTGAAACACTGGATTCAAATTTCTTCAGTGGCTTTTCAAATAAGCATAAATATGAACCAATGCTGAAATGTTTGCATTGCACTGGCTCTTAAATAAAGGCTATCTGACAGAATACAAAAAAACAAAAACAAAAACAAAAACAAAACCAAACCAAACCAAAACAAACAAACAAAAAAAACACAGGGGGCCAGGGATTTAGCTCAGCAGCTCAAAGCTCTTGTCCAGTAAAAGCAAAGTAGTGAGTTTGATCCCCTGGTACCAAAATCAAAACCAACAAAGAGAGAACAGGAAGCGTTGTCCTAAAGAATGATATATTAACACCTAAAGAATAATATATTATTTATAGTAAAAATACATCCATCTGGGCTGGGGATTTAGCTCAGCCATGTAAGCACCTGCCTGGCAAGCGCAAGGTCATGAGTTCAATCCCTGGTACCAAAAACAAAACAAACAAACAACCAAAAAAAAAAAAACCTGATTTCAGTTTTAAGTGGCATTTGATTGAATTGGTTCAGTATTCTCTACATTAGAAACAGGGTAAGTTTTTTTTTTATAAGCATAAGCAATCACTAGGTGCTCAGTTGATGATTGTTAATATGAACAAAACACTTTAAAATGTTTTAACAAATGCCCTATGCAATTTATTAGAGATGTATGATGTAATTTTGAAAGGTGCTCAAAATGTTACATGATTCCAGTGACTTAAATAGTATTTAATAGTTCTGTCCAGGCATTTTTGCATAATGGTGAGCTAAGATTTTAATTGTCTACAAACTGAGACTCAAAAAGGGGTGAAACACACCGTCGTTGGTTCTGGCCTTTTATAAAGTATAATTTTTAATAGTACAACATTGATGTAGGCATATTGGTTCATGTCTGTAATCCTAATTCTTAGAAGGCTGAGGCAGGAAGATGGCCACGAGTTCAAGGCCAGCCTGACCACATAGCAAGACCCTGCCTCAAAAAAAAAAAAAAAAAGATTGATTGTGAAAAATTTCTGAATCACAATATTGTGTTTGCTGTGTCTAGGCTGTCATGTTATGGTCAAGTTGTTTGTAAAAATTATATATATATATATATATATATATATATATATATATATTTACAAATATTACTATTTTACATGTTGTGTTATATTTCATTATTTTATAATTATTTCAAAAGGAGTAAATATGCATATGTTATCAAAATTCTGAATCCTTTCATCAGAAATTTCAGGTAACAATTGATACTATACAAGAGTATTTTATATTTATTTGCTATATACAGCAGTTAAAGTAATACGATAATGAAGAAAATACATGTAACAGTGCTTCAAAACTGTTTTGGACTGAATACATCTATTATGCATTATGGGGTACAAAAAGGACAAAGGTAAAGACTGTGACCTCAAAAGCCTCCTTGGGCCAATTTTTATAATTGCATAATTTGGATGGATAGAGAATGTAGAACCTATCTCTCACCTAAAAGGGGGCAGGCATGAATCAGTTCCAGTTGAAAATGGCCAGATAATAATGAAGGCCTGAGATTTGTCAGTCTTCTATAGAAATCCAAAATTTAAAGTTTATTCATTAGGAACAAACAGAAAAACTGTGTGCTAGAAGAGCAAAATGTCTCAACTGGACTAAGAAACCATCAGTAATATTTGTTTATGAATGATCACTTTTTGGTACTCTATGGATACTTATTTGTTCCCTGTTTCAGTGTAAGTGTTTCTATTTGTATTTCTAAACTTCAGAATTTTAATATTAGGAAAGTGATAATGCTGCTGTACAATCATTTCTAAGAATTTGAAGGCATCAACTTACGTTACGTGGCAGGCTCACATCAGATATAACTGTAGATTCTACATCAATGATATGATATCCATTTTCTGTGCTGAAGAAAATCTTTAGTTTTTTCTCAGAACCAATAGCCAAGTCAACTGTCACCGGTTTATGATCAAGAGTTGGAAACACCTGAAATATAATGCCAAGTATGATCAAAAGGCCCAAAAATGATATTCTGCTTAAGGTAAAAATTCTCCCATTTTTTTTCTAGGTTTATGGGATTGTGGAACTGATGTAGACTTTTTAAATGGCGTACTGTATTTAAAGATCAATATACTATAGCTTTTCTTAGATCTGTCACCACAACAAAGGCACACTTAAAGTTAGGTTCCAAATGTTTCAAGTGTCAAATTGCCAATGATTCTAAGAGCCTCGTATTACTCTGCACTTTGGCATCCTTAATTTCCTTGTGTTGACTTTCAACAAATGAAGGAGCTCCTCTAGATTAGCTACCTGTATTTTTGACACTATTTGCATATAACTTCATAAGATATATAATGTCTTTTTAGTCTATTGATTCCTCAAAGCATACTTGGTGAAACATGAAAAAGACAAAAAAGCCTATTGTCAACTGAGTGTGCTATAGGCTTCTATGGGTTTTAGTCCAAGAACACAAAAAGCAACAGTTTTCCCTGCCAAGCCCAGGTCACAGTAGAGGACTAAGCATTACAAGATTCACCATATTAGAGTGTTGAGGTAGGATTCAAGAGCTGGAGTGAGGACTTTGACAAGAACTGTGTGTTAGGTTTGAGAGACTGTTGGTACATATCTCTTTGATTTCCTGTTCTGTACCAGGTAGCTCTGACCAATCAGTTGACAATTAAGAGTAAACCCATATCCAAATATTGACAACTGAGATAAAATCAATGATGTAATCTGTGTCACGTCAAACCAAGACTATTTATATAGCAGTCTGCTATTTATAAAAAATACATAGTAATTGTGGAACTCATCCTTGCAAAGCCATTAAAAGAATTTTTATTGTGATATTTTGACGTACAAAACAAACCATTGTAAACAGATCTAAGTTACTATTTTTTTTATTAATACCTTGTGGGCTCTATCAGAATGTGTCTCTACCAGTATTTTGTAAATATTAGTCCAAGTAGTAACAAATTCAATATTATCTGGAATATTTGCTAAAAAATAGAAATTCCCAGATCTTACTCCAGATCCACTATTCAATGTGGGATTGGGTCTGGGGCCTAAATGCTTAACAAATGGTCCAGCTAATTGTGATATATATTGCTTATTAAAAGCTATTTGACTTGATAGAATGTTGCCATTTCACTAGCTAGCCCTTATTAAAATGGAATAAATTTTAAAAATGCCTAGTTGGGTGGAATTTTGGAGAATTTCAATTATTTACAGCCTTCAGTCTATTTGATATGATAAAAAAGTCAGCATCATCTTGTTTGGGATTGAAGCACAATTAAATAATAATAAACATGGAAAGATTATTCATAAGCCTAACTACCACACCTTGCAAATGGTTCTAGAGAGAAATTTGTTTACATTTTCATTTTGTAAGCAATGTAGACCCACTCATTACTCCCATCAACATCTACTGTGCTCATAGTAATTGAAACAAAGATTTTTCTCTTCCCTCCTTCCTATTCCAATGGTTTCCAAACTTTTCTTTAACTTTGCTCTGCTCCCCTCTCCTCCACTAAGAGAAAAAAAATGGATGTTCTCATATTCAAGTCTACAGCATTATGCCCACAGCTTGTGTTTAGGACTTTAAAAGAGAAGATATTTGTGTTGATTACAGGAATTGGGAGTGAACAGTTTCTGAGGAAGTTTTGTAAGAGGGGTGATGAGGATAGGATCAGAGATTTACCTCCCATTCTCCCTTGCTCTGATGCTGTGTATTGTTTAAAAAGGGGTTTAAAAGGGCTAAATGATAACTACTGACATAATATATTCAAATTGTGCATTAACTGTAGAAGAATGGTAAATACCACGCCTGTATTAAAAATATTGCTTTGTTTACTTTTCTTCTGAAAAGAAAAATGGCATGATGTAATGGAAAAAGAGATCACTCACTTTAATAGCAGTGCTTTCATCAAAGGACTCTGATGTCCATGCATAAAGGTGAACTGATGATTTCAAAGCAATTGCTATATATGTTGTTTCTTCATGTTGGACTACAATGATAAAATAAAAAGAAGCAACAATGCCACAGATTTAACAAGAGCATTCAAATGTTTCCATTTGTTATTGAAAATATAACCACAATGTAAGAGCAAATCTAAATATTTTGTAAAGCTACTTGTTTACAAATTGGTGATTCTCCAAAAGTAATAAGATTACTATATATTTTTATGGAGTGTATTTATTAGCCTTTAAGAGTATTTTAAATTGTACACTATAAACTATAGTACACTGGTGAAAAATTAAAGATCTAAATAAGTGAAACATTTTTCATGTTCATGCATGATTACATGTAATATTTTAAAGATAGCAATCCTATTAAAATACTCTATAGATTCAATGAATTATCTATTAAAATACCAAAGGCCTATTTTGTAGAAATCAAAAAAAGTTATTCCTAAATTTCACAGGGACTGGCAAGAGGTTCTGAACATCAATAGTTTTGAAACTAAAAATAACAATTAGTGGACTCATATTTCTTTATTATAAAACTACAAAAGTAATACAAAATATGGTACAGGCATCAGCCTAGACATACAAATGAATGAAATATAATTTACAATCAATAAAAATACTCATAAATGCATAGTAAATGATACCTAAGCCATTCCGCAAGGAAAATAGTGTACAACAAATGGTGCTGGAACAACTGAATACTTATATGCAAAAGAATGAAGTTGGACACTCTACTTGCTACTACATATAAAAATCAACCCGAAATGGATCAAAGGCCTAAACTCAAGACCTAAAACTTTAAAACTCAGCAATAAATAAGTGGACAATTATTGGTGACCTTGAAAATGTCGATGAATTCATATGCTTGACACAAAAAGTGTATATGTCAAAAGAAAACATAGATAAATTAGGACATGTCACATTTAAAATTTTTTGTGCCTCAAATGACACAATCAAGAAACTGAAAGTATAGCCTGTGGACTAGAATAGAATATTTGCGATTCACACATCTGATAAGGGCCTAGTACAGAGAATACTTAAATGATTTTTTTAAACTCAAGAACAAATGGACGAAACAACTAAAATAGGAAAATACTTACTTTTCCAGGCATGATAAAAATTGACCACTAAATACGTGAGAAGATGCTTAACAGCATTAATTACCGGGAAATATCAAGTCAAATCCACTACTTTATACCCCACTAGGATGGCTAGAATTCAAACACAAACATCTACAAATGTTTGAAAGGAGGTAAAAAAAAAAGTCTTCATACATTACTAATGGCAATGTGAAATGGTACTTCTACTTTGAAAACATTCTAACAGTATCATCTTAAAGAAAACATGCAAACTTATATACAAAGATGTATAAAAATATTAATAGCAACACTATTACTAATAGCCAAAAAAAAAAGAAAATAGACAAATGTTTACCAACTGATGTATGGGTAAACAAAAAATGATGTGTCTTGTACAAAACATTTATGCAGCACTTGATGTATCTGATGCTATATGGCTGAAGCTTGAAAATATTATGGCAAGTTAAAGAAGTCTGTCACAAAATGTATGGCTCCATTTATATTAACAGCTCAGAGCTGACAAATCTTGTACAGAAAGAGTAAATCAATGGCTATTTGTGACTGTGATGGGAGTGGGGAAAATGGAAAAGGAAGGAATGGGAAATGTCTGCTAATGGATGAGAGTGTGTTATTTTATGACAAAAATAGATCATAGTGATGTTGCATATCTCTATACCATAAACCATTGACATGTTTGCTTTAAATTGGTGCATTTCATATTATCTAAATTATTTCAATAGAACTGGTTCTCAAAGGAAAACAACCAGCTTGCGCTTGGACTATTTGGTTAATTCATTTGGAATATGTTATATTACTTGATGGATTAATGCTTCCATTAAACCCCTTCTTCCTTGATTGGAATTTTCTCTCTCTCTCTCTCTCTCTCTCTCTCTCTCTCTCTCTCTCTCTCTCTCTCAGCTTCCTGTTTCATTTTCTTTTTTATTGTTCTCAAGGCAAAGAAACATGCCTAATAAATCCCCAAGAAAAAAGGAATTGTGTTAGTTAAGCAAGCACTTCCCATACATTTAATGCATGGCAATGGTTGTTGCTACTGCATTCTTTATGGATCTTGAAAAGCTATGAAAATATCTGGAAAGTATGATTCATAGCTATTCTCCTGTGTGAATATACTACCATTGCGCTTTTCAGGGAGTACAAATGTCTATTAGTTGTTCTGAATGATGGAGTAAATGGGAATGGTACCAGTAAGGAAAACTGCAATTAAATAATCCATGCCCTTGCCAAGAGGACACTTCTAAGTAGTTATCTATCATTGAATATAAAAGTACAAATTAATAGGAAATAGTTCAGCAATATACATTCCTAGATAACACCTGGAGTATTTTTCACCCCTAAGTTTATCACATTTGCACAATATGACTGGAGAGTAGTAGTGATATCCAAAACTAGAAGAAAATTGTGTTTTTATTTAATGCTTAAATTATTGAGGTACTAATTCCCCCTTTTAGTGATGTAAGTGTACATATCCATGCACATGAGAAAAATATTCTGATAAAGTTGCTTTATATGCAGAACAAAACCGATTAATCATAAAGGAAATATTCTGTTGCAATTTATATAAAGTGATTTGAACTACCTTCCATCTATGCTACCAGTTCTTCTTGAAGGGGAAATTAATAAAGAGGGTTAGAAGAAAAGTAAGACTGAGAGTAAAGGGAATTTGCTTCTGAAATGGAACAAAATGGGACGATATTACTTCATAGCTGACAGCTGAAAGCAGGATTCTGAGATATTGGAGCTGTTACTTCGCTACGTTATTTCACAGTGGATGGTTTAAAGAAATACATCTTATTTAAAAGAATTATCTAATCAACAATATACATATTCATTGTATAATCAATATGAACTGTGGGAGCCAGATCACAGAAACATTTTTTGACTTCTCATAAAGTTTCTGGCTATTACTAAGAGAAGTTCTATTTTATTGCTGTTCTAAAGAAATGTCATAAGTCTCTGTAGGTTGCTGAAGATACAACAGAAGCGTTTACAGCTATATAGCGATAGGAAAAATAGCAGTTCAACTGGAATATTTACTGTGAGTCATAAGGGAAGAAAAGTGAAGAAATAAAACCTAATCTAACATCAATAGCTATTTCAGCTAACCAATATTTTCAAATTAATGGGCATGATTGCAGCAGAAAAGATCTATCTCAATGAAGTTCACTCATCTTTGCATTTTAAGTTTCAAATTCTTTGTTATTTCTACTTTTCATGTCATAATTACTTACTTCACTCAGTGAAATAAAGGAAACTTTAATATAGCTATAGTAAATGTGAAATGGGACATACGGACACTGAAGTGTTCACAGCCAGTCAACTTATCAATAGCTCTGCAAGTTTGCTCTGTCTTCAGCATTTCTTGTTGCCTCTTTTTACTTTCTGGATCATTGTTCAAAATCTTGTTCCTCAGCCACGTCAGATGATACACCCTAAGTCTGTTCTTATGACCTGATAGATAAGAAAAGATACAATATTTCAATTCTACCTATCTTCTTCATATCTTAGAACAAAAAGTAAAGATATTTTGTATTTTCAACCAAACGTATTCACTAATGTAAAAAGTATATTTTGAAAAACTACATTGCATCAAAACTACATTCCCTTCAGAATTTAGAAACGTGATAGCAAAAAGTCTCTTAGTCTCGCAGTTCTAAGTGATAAAGTGCTTACTAGCTACCAATATGCCTGTCTGAAGTGGAATCTAAAATGCTTCTTTGAGACAAATTATGACTGTTACTAAACAGGCAATAGAATTACCATCATTCATTTGTACCTTGGCTTTTTACCAAGTCACTACTCCTCTGTGGTTCAGAAAGCTAGGAGCTATTTCTGATGATGTTTGTGCATACAAGGGATATCTGAATATTGACCTTGGGCATTTGAGGCCATGAAGAAGGATCCCTTTGTTTTCTACCATTCTAGCATACTTATAAAAGAGTTGAAGTTTTATTATTTCTTCTTCAAGCCAACTCTTTTTACTTAAAATTATTTTGGTGACTTTAATACTTTTTTGCTACAAGATATTTATACGTATTTTCAGGTATATAATGTGATATATATATATATATATATATATATATATATATATATATATTTTTTTTTTTTTTTTGGAGGGGTACTGGGAATTGAACTCAAGACCTTGCACTTGCTAGGCTGACACTGTGCCACTGAGTTATACCCCCAGCCCCGTAATGTGATATTTTTATTCATGTGTACATTGGATAGTGATTAATACAGGATACATTTAATCTTAAACTGTTAATATTTCCTTATATTGAATACATTTAAACTACTTTCTTCTATTTTGAAATTTTTAATGTGTTTCTGTTAATTATACACATCCTATTATTCCATAGCACAACAAAACTAATTTCTCCTGTATTCCTATAATATTGTGTCCATTTATCTACCTCTTTTCCTTTTTTCCTCCCTTCTATTTAATCCAGTATCAGATAAGCACTATTCTTTTCACAATTTTTATCAAATTAGCTCTTGAAATATGACTTATGAGTGAGATCACATCTTTAATATTAATTTCTTGATTGCAACTTCCTAAATCCCACAAAATTCATATAATTTAAGAAGCAAAAGCCATTAAAATCGTGTATTTGTCTCTATATAATGATTACATTCATTTTTCTTATTCATTTTTCTAGATTATGCTTATAAAATATCAAATTTCAATGGTACGATTTTCATGTGATCAATCATTGATATGTTTTACATAAAATATCAAAAACAATATTAGGGTTTGAATATCGATGTCTATGATCATTCAGTTCTTAAATGGCAAAATAAACCACTGAGTATCTTGCAATAGTGATATTTTTAGTAGTACTTGAAACAAAAATAACTTATCATTGATAAAAGCTCAAACATTAAGGAAGGCCACATCTGGATTAGAAAAAAGTCTAAAGAAAGTCTGTTTTGTAAAGAAATCTGTTATTCAAATGTGTAGTCTCTACCCAGATGCTATAAAAAACTAAACATTGCTTCTGTGTACCTCAGATAATTATAAATGAATGGCCATAAAATGTAATTTAAAAAACCATAATTCCTGAGTATATTTCTAAAGGGATTTCTCCTAAAGTCAAAATATAAAGCTAACTTAACCTTACTTAAGAACATATATAATCAGTGAATAATAGACTATTTGCACACTAATATATATTCTATATACCTAATATATATTATAAAAATATAAATGATATAAATAACTATGATTAACATTATTTTACACTGTAGCTAAACTTTTTTATCTTTACCCATCCTTCTGTTTGTCATCTTTTGCCTACATGAAAATTTAATGTGGTTCCTTTCATATAACAGTTGCTGGCTAATAATTATAGTTACTCTAACACTCATTTACTTGCTTTTTTATAGTGAAAGATTTACCATTTGATCGCTCCAAAATAAGAAAAGCAACTACTGTGTGGAAAATGTATAGAGGTCTTGAAAGTATCCATTCTGTTTTCATACATGTTTGTAATATACAATGAATACATTCATTTTGGTTGGTTGGTACCTGTGCACAGCACATTTTAATTCTTTCTATGTCCCTTTCCCTGTTCTGCACATCCTGTCCCTCCATCTGTTAGTCCCTTTCTCACCTGCAAACAATCTATCTTATTGGTTGTTATCTACTTTTTATTTTTATTCAATTATACTTTTGACTTCTCATGGAAAAGAAATCATATGATATACAAGTTTGTATGTCTCATAAATTTCACTTTAAATTGTGGATTTAAAGGTGCATGTAGGGAACCCATTCGAAAACAAATCTTATATACAAGCCCTAGTGACAAGACTGTGTGAAGATCAAGTCCCTTATTCACCCTAATGTGTCCAATTTGGTTCATTTTTGCTGTTGCTATCATTGTTTTGCTTCTAACACATCACAGGAATGGTTTGTGAGGGACATCATTGTGCTCTCTGTGTATGAGTGTAGGGAAATGAGAGGTGTAAAATTTCAGGTGGCTATCTAGAAGAAAAATATGAAAGCTTACAAGGATGAAACAATGTAGTTTTTCTAATCAATAACCTGGGTCAAGTACATTGCAATGAAAGGAAGATGGCTTAAATTGTAAATAGATTAAAAAATACAAGTAGGAGAGTCTAGTGTCCCAATTAAATGCTATATTTAATGTGTTCACCTATGAACACATTTGCCTGAGAAAGCCTTTAACCTAGTTTGCAACCTAATTAATCTACATAATTAGTTAGCTAATTTTGGTAATTAAACAAACCAGAGATGGTAATCAGCAAATTGAGTGACTCTACGACTTGAATTTGGCGGAATGGTCTTCGCTTTATAAGTTTAGTAATGTTTGCCTCTCCACTTCTGTCCAGTAGACACAAATTAGATCTGGTTCCCAGCAGCAAATTGACTCCTGTTCAGATATGAAAAGTACTATATTAGTTCAAATTATGTATTGCAATTAAATTATATTAGAAATTTTGATACTTCAATGTGTTAATCTTTATAAAGATGACTTTTATAATTTTAGGATAATATTAATTTCATATTTTGTAGCTATGTACTCTACTAATTGAACAAAATTCACCGATGTATGTGAAAAGATAGAAGAGGATACTCTGCACCAATACTCTACAGGATGGTGTCTGCTAGGGCATCTTAAACATAGAGTTTGATGTTTAGCTGAGCATCTATTAGTAGTATCCCATAGCTTGTCAGTCAACTCTTTTACAGATTACTATTAAATATCTTTAATCTAACACATAGCAATAATCCAATTTATTTCATGTCTCATTCCTAACTATAAAACAATGTTTTAATGCTTTTAGAATAACTATATGCTTTTTAACGAGTGCTTTTATGCTCATTCAGAAACTTAAAAATTTACCTTTCTAAATACCTATTTGTTGACTTGCTCTCATAGTACTGTTTAAAGAACAAATGCAAAGACTAAAATAAAAGATATAACTAAATTTAAAATACATTTCAAACCTTGGTGCACATCTGCCCACCAACTGAGACACAGGAGAAATTTAACTAAGTGATAGAGAAGGAAATTTTAGTATCCGCCTTTCCCTGGAAGAATATTTGTGCTCTGCAGATACAAAGAGAAAGAACAAGTGTCTTTGATTCATTTTCCCACTGTGCCCCTTTCCAGTTCTCATAGCCAATGGCAAATTTTGAACAGCATGTTCCCTAAGTGGAGTCAGAGGAGGAGGGGGATGATCATCACTTTTTATTATGGTCTTTTACTTTTCAAAGCAAATAATCACTAGTTATAAGTTATTCAAAATTATATTTCTGAGTAGCTGCTAGACTGAAATGTTAATGCTTTCTCATTGTCTAATACAGTCAATTAGCAAGTTTTGAGGATACTATTTTTCTAAATTGTTCAATTCATATAATTATGTTTGCTTGCTGTATTTTTATTGAGAACCCTTCTGTTGAATTGTACAGCAAGTAAAGCCTGTCAAGTTGCAAGTTGGAGGTTAGAATTTACTTTGGATTCTTCCCTTTATTGAGTTCACTTATTCTGTTTCACTTATGATGCAGATTGGCTTGAGGTAAAATAGTGTCTCAGCATTATAGATGTGACTACTTTTTGAAACAAAGAATTGAAGAGAGCTGTCAAAGTTAAGACCTCTTAGCAGAATTTTCTCTTAAAATTCTCATGACTGCTTAAAAACAAGTTTCTACAGAAATCCGTCTTGTAATACCTTACTAGTTGTAGTATTCTTCACTGTATCATAAATTAGAAATTGTAAGTTTGTCCAATTTTATATTTAGTGATGTTAATTCATATTAAAAAACATTATTAAAAGGGTGAGACATCAATCAGCAAAATCACTTCTGACCAAATTATAAACATATTTTTATTTGATTTGATAATGACTTGGCAATAATTATCAAATGTTTTACATACATGATTTTTACATTCTTTGTATATAGGTTAAAATTAGAGTATTTTATAAAAGTAATCCAGTTTCAAAAAGCCAAACTCACCCCACAATGAACCACAGTAGATCTCAGAAGTGAATTCTTTTTCATACATGTGGATTAGTGGTTTTTTACATGCAGAGGAGACACAAGTTGGATTAACATTGACTTCAAAGGTTCTCTTAGTTGATTTTTCAGGTACTTCCATGAATCCAGAATATACTGTGAATAAGTAATAGAGAAATAGTAAGAGACATTGCTAGTTTATACAACATATGTCCTTGAGTGTTTCCATGAAACAGTCACAGCCTACAAGAGCTCCCGTTTCTGTACTATATTTTATTTTTTACTGCAGGTATCATTTTGAAGATTACTAAACCATCAGACAATACAAATGATACTAGTTAAAACACACTGCTTAATAAGAAAATATTTCAAGCAAGTTTTATTAGAATACTAACAAATCTAATAAAGGCTAAGTCAATTTCTCATCTGTAGCTGAGAGCTATACGCCATAAAGATTTAGCCAAGATTAGATTTATTAAAAGCATACATCTATCTGAATTATGTCAAATGAATATCCGGATGGTTTAATTCCTTGAAGATCATTAAGAAGTGATTAAACACTATTGAATATGAGAATAAATAAAAGCACTGAGAAATCATATTGGAAACTCACAGATGGCACAGGCTAAGTCAGCATTAGCAGCCATCCCAGAACCTTTGGAAGGAGATGAGTTATTGGCAAAAAAATCCAACTGTGTTGATGATTCTGATGTGCCTGTACTGCCATCCACATCATCTAGCTCAGGGGATGGAACATCTGAGACAATGGAGGTTGAGTCCTCACTCCCACCATTTAGTTCCTGAAAGGACACCAAAAAAAAAAAGAACAATTTTTATTTTGTTAGAAAATTTAAGTAGAGGAAATATGCACAGGAGTCACTTTAAAGAGTGAAAGCAAATTTTGCTGTATTTATGCCCTTAAAAATCCACATTTAGGGGCTGGGGATTTAGCTCAGTGGCATAAGTGCCTGCCTTGCAAGCAGGCAATTGTGAGTTCGATCCCTGGTACCGATAAAAAGGAAAAAGAAAAAAAAAATCCACTTTTAATTACAAAACTCAACAACCAATATAGGGGTGAAATATGAGGAGCATTGAGTCTCTCACACAATTTTGGTGTTAACATTTATGTTGCTGTGATAGGAATCTTATTTACATATCACCGTTCATCCTTAGTATAAGCCAATAAGTAAATACAAGTATCATCTATATACTTATAATGAAACTAAAATTTCCTTAGAAATGTTAAATACTGCTTTGTAGTTTATTCTTTTAGTTTGATGCAAAAGTAGAATTTGAAGCCGAAGACTGTTTAGCTGCAAAGTGTACATTCAATTATGTTATGTCAAATAGCCACTTTCAAAAGTAAAAGGCACAGTAGAGGAATATTTGTTACATTGCTTTATGCACACTCTGAGAACTTATAGCATGAAAAACCTAGAGATAAAAGTTTTAAATGATGAAGGAAAATATGAAAAACCAATTTACACAATTTATTTGAGTATGAATATATTTTACTGAAAATTCACTCAGCTACCATTAGTTAATAAAGGTAACCATGGGTAAAACAAAAAAAAAATGACAATTTATGTGGTATTTTACATCTAATAGGAAAACACACCCAACTGTTTTGACAAATCGATCTATTTATAAGCTTTCTAAGGAGTGATTTTTGGCACTGGGGCAATTATTCCACTGTGTTAAGGAATGGTTTTTATGACCTAGCAAACCAAATAAACCATAGTATATAGCAGAGCATCATTTTAAAATTAAGATGACAGGAAGGTCTGTTTACTTTGCAAAGAACTAAGACTTTCCTTAATATACCAAGAGATACTCAGGATGCCTTGAAAATAATGTTTGGACATTCTATTTTAACATCTTTGATTAAGATGAATGATAGGTTTATAGATAGATAGATAGATATACATATAGATACTTTCCCATTGGTACTGCTTTCCTGTTTTAAACCATTTAGGGAAATTCCTTTCTCCCTGTTTGTTTCCTTTGTTTCTTTAATTTACGTTTTCATTATCACTGATCAGGTCTTAGGGTGGACCCTGACATTGAGTGAAATAGTAGAAAAACAATCAAGAATGGATTAGATTTCATAATCTTATGTAACAAAATAGAAACCACTAGGCAAATAAGTATAATATCATAAATGTTAAAATGGATCCATGTGTGAAAAACGCTTGAAATAGCAGGGGGTACATAATTCTGGTTTGGGAAGTGAAAACCTGTATTTGAATTGGGTCATAATTGATGAATAAATCAGCAAGCTGAGAACAGATAAGAGGCAGCCCTCCCAACAAAAAGAACAGCTTTCTGTGTGAGAACGAATTCATGAAAAGGAGCCTGGCCTTTTCAAAGCCAGTTCTTGGGACAGGAAAACAGGCTAGGAAATTAGATTGGTACACTGTTTTCTATTTCTGAAGTTCCAACTTTTTTTCAGATGAGCAGATAATCACTATTTGTCACAAATAAGTTAAAATTAAAGTACTTCAAAAAACCTCTGAGATAATGCCTACTGATTTACCATCCACGAAAAGACTTTAACGTTTTAAACCATTTATGAAATCAATAAATATTTTGTGACTAATAAAATCATCATCTAAACACAATACATTACTTCAATTAAAGTATATAATCTCTTGTTATGGTGGTGTATGCCTATAATCTCAGAATTCAGAAGGCTGAGGCTAGAAGATTGTCACTGATCTGATGCCAGCCTGGGCTATATAGTGCTTTCAAAACCATCATGAACTACATAGCAAGATTCTGTCTGAAAATAACAACAATAAAAAACAGTGTACACTGACAATTCATCAAAAAGTTAAAGACTTGTTATATAATGCAGCAAATTTACTCCTAAATAGAGACCTAAAAAAAAAAAAAAAACAGAATCTGATACCTGTACACTAAAATTTACACAAAATCATGACCCTGCGCTTGCCATGCTGGCCCTTATGCCACTGAACTAAATCCTCGGCACTACAGAAGGATATTCATGATAGGTCAAATCTGGAAACAACCAAATCAAAAAGTGAAATAATAGTATTCAGCATTAAGAAAGGAGTAAAACTATGATACATGCTACAGCATGACAAAGCTTGAAAATATTATGCTAAATGAAATAATCCAAACATGACAGGACAGATATTGTCTGATTAAAAATACAAGTTACCTAGAAAAATATTAGAATACAGTTTACCAGGGAGCAGGGAAGTAACGAACTTAATCATTTAATTGTTTAGGATAATAAAAAATGAACAGAAATCGAGAGTCCTGAGGGTTGTATACCACTGACTGTACTACATGCTACTGCTTTCTACACTTAAAATAATTAAAAATAGCCAAGTATGATGGCACATGCAGTAAATTTTAGAAGTCTGAGAGGCTGACGGAGTCTAACCAGGGCAACGTAGTGACTTGATTATACCTTGCCTCAGAATAAACAAAAACAGAAACTATCTGGGAATGTAACTCAGGGAAAATTTCCTAGGTTCAATCTCCAGTACTGAAAAAAAAAAACAGTTAAATGCTATGTTATGTTTATTGTAAAATAAAAACAATTTTCCCTGTAAAAATTATGTATTAACATATATCACTCAAACATGTGATATGAGTAAAGAAAGGCAAACAAGATTATTTTTGTCTAGGGAAGCAACAAGGAACCAGCCAAATTAGAAACAATAAAGGCCTCTACACACAGATATAATTAAAATGCTTAATATTTTGGGCACAGGGTTTAAATCTATTTGGTATAGCTGGAAATGCTGACTATTATACGCAGAAACACATTCCCAATGGCAGAAATTTATTATTCTTTACAAATGGTACATTACCTCTTGTTGATGTTCAGAACTGTGGCATATGGATCTCTTCACTCTTGGACCATCTGTGTCTGAGTGGTTTTCTCCTTGATTGACTCCAACTGCTCTATTCTCTTTATTGATGCCACTGACTCCCTTATTTCCATTACTCCTGATATCTCTTTCACTACCTACATCAGCTCCACGTCTTTCCTGATCTCCACTGGCTGCATTGCCTCCATTAGTTGCACTTCTTCCTTGGTTTCTACCGTTATAGCTTCTCCTAGCATCTTCTTTTCCATCACTGCCATCTTGCTGGCTGCTTCCATGCTTATCACAGCTTGCCCTGATAACAAGGACAAATTAAAGAACGATAGTCATTCAATAAAAACACAGCTGAAAGACGGTAAATGAAACAAAAGTAGGATTTTCTTTTACTTATGTACTATGTCTAGGCATGTTTTTGCTCTTTGTGAAATCTATTAGTATTCAGACAAGAAAAAATATACTACAATATCCTGCCAATCTTAAATACTGATTAGCATCATACAATTGTCAAATCTTGGGCTGCATTTTGGGGGGGGGGATGAAATCATATTATTTTAGCTACATGTATTAGATTAGTAGCACAGACATATACTTTTTTCTTGAATAATAGCCTCCTTCACACATTAGAAAATTCAAAGACACATGAATGATTAAACCTGTGTTTTTGGCTCAGTCACAAACTATTTGAATAATTCATCCTGCAATATATCTGGTTTATGTTAAATGCTTGCTTTTATTTTCTAAGATATATATTGGCTTCCTTGATGCAGAATCTCATTGAGCAACTGATCTCTGAGCTATTTAAAATAATATTGATGCAATATCTCAGAGAACTATGGCAGTCATTTAATCAGTTTGAAAAAAAAAAAACACCAAATTTGCCAAATTATCTCAATAGTCTCTTTTCGCATAAGAGACATTAAACATAATTGTCTTTACTGACTCTAAAAACAAGTCTATGTGACAATGGAATTCCCTTTCTTTTGATGTGTGGTATTGAGAATTGAATCCAGGGGTTAGTGCATGCATTTTAGCAATCAATGCATCCTGAGTCCTTTTATTTTAGTTTTTGTTTTGAGACAGCATCTCATTTGGTTGCCTAGGTTCATCTCAAACTTGCTATCCACCTGCCTCAGTCCCTCTACAATAAAAATTTTGATAGATTTTTTACTAATTAAGTAGATAAATATCATGCTAAATTTATTACATGCATGTCTATACATAGCTATGTTTGAAAATATTTCTTTTTTGCTCATTTATTATACTTGTTGTTTTATACAGTACTAAGATTTAGCCACAATAATCTCAATATAAATACTCAGGCATATCCATTTATAAAGTAATTAATAAATATGTGAATATTAATAAAATAGTATGCAACTAATGGGAAATTAAGCATCTTACCTTAGAACAATTTAGAATATATTAGTAAAGACCAACTGCCAATATGCAGGGGCAATTTATTATCTCTCAAGAAAATACGCTACATTTTGAAAATAAAGCAAAGATGCAATTAGTTCTAAAATTATAAAACATGTGTGAGTCACTGAGTAAACCAACCTTGAACGATTAGCATCATCATGACTATTATCTATGTCATCAACAGACTTGTCAATGCTGTCACCAACATCATGGTCTTCACAGACATTATTTTCCTGAGCAACCTGGTTATCCAAGTCATTATTGCTATTGGGATGGCCGTAGATATCTTCATAAACATCATCAGAAGCACCGTCATCACTATCAGCATCAGCACCGGCATCATAGAGTTCAACATAATCACCATCCTTCTCAGATGGCTGAATGAGCGGTGCAGGAGTTAACCAATCATTCCAGAACATGTCAGAAAGTGAGTTATACTCCGGCCACTCATTTGTCAAGTATACAGGGGGTGATATTTTTCCTACTTTAAATCCATTTGGAACCTGTGTGCAGAATAAAGGTTAATGCAGTTTCAAGTACTCTTTCATTTTCTGCTAGATTGCAAAGATTTCAAGATGAAAAAATTTTAAAATATATTCGCAGTTTAAATAAAGTTGTCTACTTACTAGCTAGAGTCAACGTTTTAGTGAGAATGAGGTATTAAAACCCAAACATCAAACTATGATTATTAGTGGACTTTCTAGAGCACAAGGCAAAATCTACTCACTGTTTTTATTAGCCCTACTTGCCTACTGAGAAGCTGATGTTTGCTTTTGATGCTGGAGAGAACAAGCAAATTATTGCCCTATGGGTAGTTATTTAATTTTGTTTTCCCCTGATTTGGGGATTAATGCATAGCCTGTGAAATTCGTGAGTTAATTTCCCAGGATTGTTTTTATGTGCCATAGGTTATACCTTAAAGATGTCAAAGACTTCAAGTAAGCAAATAATATAAACCCACTTCTCAAACATGGGATACATCATTCAGCAACTTTTGGACACAAGTGTGTGTCTGGTAGAGTAAAGATAACTACAAAATTAAAATTATCTGAAAGCACACTTCAAAATGAGCTGAATGACATTTTATTTATGTATCAGAGCACATTTTTTCACTATATGCTTTATTTTTATACATTGTCTCATCAACTAAAGAATGCTATTAAACTCAAACTGAACACAAATGTTTGCACCCTTAATTTGACATCAGCTTCTACAAGTATCTACTTATCACTTCTCTCTTTAATATGTTTGCACTGAATAAATATGTGAAAATAAAGTATCATTTGATGAATTAATTTTTTTCCATTTCAATTTTACCTTCTAAATTTTGTATTCTGGACTTTTACATAGGAGGAATCTGTCTTGAGAAGACTAATTAAAAATCAAACATTTTAAGCATTCCCCCCTTACGTGAAGAGGAAAAAATTAGATCAAAACAAATTAAAAATTAAAAGGAACAGATACAAATGTGTTAAGAATGAAACCTACATGGATATCAACCAGCAACTTCTGATCAATAGTAGAATAAGGCGGTGACGACTGGGACCTCCTCCCAGCCACAGGACTCTCCTCAGCAGCTCCTATGAAATTTCAAAAATATATTAGTAACAGTGCTGGTTACAGCGATTGCCTTCATTTATGTCATGCTGCAGCTCAATCCCTTGTTTTTCTCATAACCTCTGTAATTACATTTAAGTAATATACCTGGTAAATATCCATGGGGCCAAAACCTTAAGTTCTATCTTCTGAGGTAGTGTAGGCTCAAGATCTATTTCATTTAAAGGCCTATGTGGCTGTTTTTGTTTTCAATATTCAATGTATGTTTGCTAAGCATTTATATCTATGTAAAAATGCTCACAAGAAGACTAGAGGCCAGGTGGATTTATTTATTTAAAAAGATTGCATGAAGAATGTGAAGGACTAGGAGTACTACTGGCTTTACATGCTAATCAGTAGAAAGAAGACAATTGTGTTCATTACAAAATGATACATCAGTCCAAACTTATGTGATTTGATACTTCAGTCTTAACTCTCCTTCAATTTGCACCCAGTGATATAACCTTAGGTATTTAAACAAAGTTAAGTAGTGAACTACTAAAAGATGTATAATTTAACCTTTTTCATAAAGCTACAATTTTCTATAGCAGCCCTGCACAATGGAATTTTACATATTTAGGGAAATATTTTGCATCCATACTGTCCAGTACAGTAACGACTAGTCACAAATTGCTCCTGATAACTTGAAATGTCACCAGTGCACATTTGAAATAAACTTCTAAATTTAATTTCTGTTAGGGTTTTATGTTAAAATCACATATTACTAGTTGGCGTCACATTGGATAGCTCAACTCTGTAGTGTAGATATTTTCATTTAAAATAAAAATTTATTTAATTCAAAAGTGTAGCTTTTTTATCAAGCTGTCTGGTAAATAGTATATGTAGTTAAAAAACCAGTGAAAAACATAGTAGGCTCAAAAGTCAGTAGATCTAGGTGAGTGTACCTAGAAAAAGCTTCTGTAAAGGAATACTCAGGTCACTGCTTATGATTTTTATGAGATTTTAAAGGTAAATTGTTTTGCTCCTTCTTTATTTACAGTCTTTGTACAAATGGACAAATAAAAGATAGTTACAATTCCAAAATGCATGCATTTGCAAACAATGCTGCATCCTGAAACATTACAAATGCACCCTACAGTGTATATCCTCATGTTGACACTTGTGCTTTTGCCACTTATTATTTTTTTTGTAGGGAGCTATTTTTTCAAGTGTCTTGTTCATGAGAGCAGACCAAATAAGTTTGTATGAAGGCCTTGTAAATCGGAGAAAAGGTGATCAGTAAGGTGACCTCTCCAAGAGGAAGTCTGAAATCTCATGCGACCTAAGTAGTAGAATACACACTGGAAGTTCAAATCTGGAAAAGAAATTTGGGTGTGGCTGTCATTTCTTCTTTAGTGGCTAATATAAAATCTCTTTATTTCAAAAAGGACACATGAATAAGCCCTAAAGTTTTAGTTATCTGTCCAGTATACAAAAATTAGTGCTACTTAAACAAAAAGAAGATTCTGGTTTAAAAAAATCCTAAAATTGCTCTTCTCTCAGACTTATGTTACTTCTCAGAAGATAATGCTCTTGTACAAGAAGATATTATTGCTTAAACAGATTCTGTCATTGCCTGATTCTTCTGCACTGAAGAATGAAATTTTTAAGTTCATAGCTTCAAATACTAGTTTTCTAATATTTAAAAAATATATGCTAAATGTTTTACAGATAATTTGGAGGTTCCAACACTCATTTATTCTTTGCTTAAATGGAATGATTAGAATTAGTGGATGGCATATTTTATGATCTAAGGCACAATTTCAATTTTATCATCACATGTCACAAAATTGTAATTCATTTAAACTCTCTCAAAAGCATATTTTGAAAAATGACAACTTGTTTGAAAGTCATATCATAATTTGTGAATTTCTTTTATATGATTCAATTGATTATTTATGCCTATCAAGTAAGGCCATAAGTTTGCATCATTTGGAAATACTTGTATGCTGCTTATATTATATTTTGAAGAGGCTAAATAACAAGCTAATAAAACACATCTTCATAACTATTATATCCAATATTCTAAAGGTTAATTATAAATTTTTGCCTACTGGAGTAGTCTTTCTCAAATATTTTTTATTTGTCTTTCCTAATATAGAACCTAAATAAAGGGGACTTCTATACTTTCCTAGACGTATTACTAACTACCCAACTGCAAGAGATAGCTTAAGAAAATCATTTTCTCTTTCAGAAGTTCACCACTGACAAGCCAATTGCTAAATGCAATGGCTTTTTGTCCTAATCCTATTTGGAATCCCTGATATATTTGATTCATTCTCTTTTGGAGATTTTCTTTCTTGACTTCTGAAACATAAACTATTAAACGTTAGTGTTGATATTTGACTGTAGAAATTCTGTACTTTGAATCACCTGATGCTGCTTGAAAATTCTGAGGATTTTGCGAGCTCCTTTCTCTGATGTCAATGGGTTTCTGAGCTTCCTCCAAAAGAGGCTGCTGAGGAACACTAATAAAAAGACAAACAAGCATGTGCCACATCCTAACATTCATGAAGCATAATGTACAACTGAACATAAAGGCTAACAAAAATTTTTTCTTAAAGATACAGGAATATATAATACTGAAAAACTTAGAGTTCAAAAAATATTTACAAATGCTCATTTCACCCCAAATCTGCTATCTTATCTATAATAGAGATGTAACATCCAAAATGGAGAAATATAAAACATTTTTATGTAACATGATTTTTTCACATATCATATTTTTCTAAAAACTTCTATCAACTTTCTTTAAGGTAACAGACAATATTATTTAAGGTAACAGACAATATTATTACTAACATGATAAACACAAGCTTATCATGTTTGAGAGTCTTTAAGCATAGGAAATACAATAAATAAATATTTTGTCAAAATTGTTCTATTATCCTGAATTTTACATGCTTAGATTTTGTCTTTTTAAAATGAAGGTTCTGATATAAATGGATAGACAGAAAGGGTATTTTAATTTTCATTATTTAAATTTAAAGATCAGCACTGTGAATTTTATAATCACTTTAAAATTTCTATATGGGAAGAAATTTGGTTATTGATTTAAGCTTGGAATAGTCAAATAGTTTTCTAGGACCCAAAATTTAAGGAAAAAATTCAGTTTCATTTTACATAATTTTATAAATATAACTATTCATAAAGGTAATGCATTTGTCATTCATAAATTACTTTGCAAAATGAACAGTCATTAACAGATAAACACTAACTTGAATTTTTTATACCTAATTATATTAAAAGATATGTTCTGACAAAACTAAGCTGATTTTTTTTCCCTTTGAATTCAGAAGCACTAGGAGAATTCACACATTGAAAATCTCAATAAAAAGACAGTGCCTCAGGGGCTGGGGATTTAGCTCAGTTGGCATAAACATCCGCCTTGCAAGCAGGTGGTCGTGAGTTTGATCCCTGGTACCAACAATAAATAAATAAATAAATAAGTAAGTAAGTAAATAAATAAATAAAGTGCCTCGTCTTGAATTCTAATTGTAAACTTGGGTCAATCATTCTAATGCTATCTGTGTTATTACTGGTATTTCAGCTTTTGCTTCTCACAAACCTTGTTGACAAAGACACGAATATTAGTTTTCCAAGTGAGCATTAGTCATAAGTAATTCAAATACTAAAATAAGAGACACATACCTTGAATGAAACTTCCTATGGTGTGCACAATCTTGGTTGTAAGGCATAGAAGCAGATCTGTCTTGAATCTTAAAGATACAATGCAATATTTTGGTAGACTTCTAAGTCATAAGTTATTTTGAATTACTAATTTATAGAAAATAATTTTCTTCTATCTTGTCTTAAAACATTAACTTATAATACATTTATTTATAAATAGGCCTTATTTTCATTGCTACCCATATACTATAGCATTGAAACTGTCTACTGATAATTTGAGATGATTTTTTTGAATTTTACAATAGGATCTGATTCTGAAAAGTTCATAGTCAAAATTTATCATATTGCTGCTGAGAAATAAGTAGCCCAAAGAAGAAATATGTTTTTTTCTAAGAATTTTAAATCAAAGCAAAGGCTATCTAAAATCAGAATGCAGACTCTCAACCTCTGATTAAACATTCTTTTTAAGTGTTCACATTTATTTTTATACTGTCTGTATTTTTTACTTAAATTTAAGAATTTGAGTTCAAAATTTTACCCTTTTCAGCTAATTCTAGATTTTCCAAGGTTACTACACACACATGTTAAAACTCCACAAGAATCAAAATTGCCCTCACCTTTAAGAAAAAAGCTTTGGCACTTTTTGGCATTTTGAGACTGTGTTTCACTATGCAGTTCAGGATGGCCTTGGGCTCACTTTGTAGTCCAGGCTGGTCTTGAACTTGAAGAAAACTTTTTAAACTTTATAATATACTGCCATAGTGTTACCACATGGTTTTCATTTTTATTCTAAATAAATTAATTTAAATTTTACTAATTATATATTTATCTAATTTTGCCACACTCATAAAAGAGCACAAATAATGACCCAGTTTCTGAAAATGGGGCAGATTTAATTTCTACAAACATTTAGAGGACAATGGAATTTGTCTTGTCTCTTTACTTTAACTTCCTAGTTTTTTATTTACAACAGTTTTTATGTACTAAAAATTATTGTAACATACAACAAGATAGTGACACTAGATTCTTCAGAAAAAATTCAATAGGATACACTTTTTAAAAATTATCTATCATCATTCCATATTTTCTACAAACTGCACTCAACTTCTACACTGTTTCACTATTTTCTCCTATGAAGTGATCTCTCAAGGATGCCTTTACACTCCAAAAGACAAATTGGTAAAATAGTGTTACCAATTTTTTCTTCCTCTTTCTTTCTTTCTTTCTTTCTTTTTCTTTCTTTCTTTCTTTCTTTCTTCCTTTCTTCCTTCCTTTCTTTCTTTTTCTTTTTTCTTTCTTTCTTTCTTTTCTTTTCTCTTTCTTTCTTTCTTTTTTCTTTCTTTCTCTCTCTCTTTTTCCCTTCCTTCCTTCCTTCCTTCCTTCCTTCCTTCCTTCCTTCCTTTCCTTTTCTCTTTTTAAGACAAGGTTTTACTGTGTAGCTCAAGCTGGCTGTGAACTCATTATGCAACCCAGCTCGACCTCAAACTCACATGGATCCTCCTGCATGAGCCTCCTGAGTGCTGGGATTACAGGCATGTGCCACAACACCTGACATAGTGCTGCCAATCTTTCATCTGTTTTTATTGAGTGTTTCTAAATATAACCAGATATTTAGTAATGCATATTTAAGATACCTCTGCCTGAGTAAATTTTTCTACTTTCAATTTAGATAATTGGCACTATGCTTTTCTTTTTATCAAAGTAATCTCAATGATTTATTTATTTGTTTATTTATGAGATAGTGGTCTCAGTAAGCTGCTGCCTTGAACTCCCAGGCCCAAGTGATCCTCCTGCCTCAGCCTACAGAGTGGCTGGAAGTACAGGTGTGCACTACCACAACTACCTCAGGAAATTTATTGACAGTAGTAAATACAAAGATAATAGCCCAAAGTAACAAAGTTAAGGCATAGCCTGAGTTGGCTGTATTTGGATTGAAAATTGAGAAGAGGAAAATAATTAGCAAGAATAGCCTACACTAAAACACACAATTTATTCTAAATGAAATTTAGCTCCTTGTACTGTCTTGCTTATGGTTCATCCTTATTGCAGGAGAATCCAAGTACAGTCATTTACCGAGGCAGAGAGATAGACATACTGTCTCATTTCATTAAATAATACACTCCAATAATGCTCCTTCCATGAATGGTTAGTATCTATAAAGCAATAATCTCAGCTATTCACCTCAATAGAATGTTAGTATGTGGGTATGTTTTATTTAAAAGGAGAACTACCCATAAAATACGTCACAAAACCTGTAAAGTATTCTGAGCTGAAGTGAATCATGTGCTGCTTAGGAACATGATGCCTACCTCCTGCCTCACCATGAATAACGCAAGACTTACTGTTCTTCACACACTCACCTAATCTCTTAGTGGGCAAAACTTTTCTTCAATGGCTGGCTGCTGTGAATACTAGCTATGATAATGCTACCTTGTCTATATAAGAACTTAACCTATCTCACATTACGCTCTCAAAATACATACATTTTCCTAAAATTGACTCAAGTTAATCATTTCGGGCAGGGGAACTCCATTCTGTATAAATATCAACATTTGTTTAAAACCATTCATCTGCTATTGACACATAAACTGTTTCCTATAATTAGTTATTAGGAATTTTGCTGCTATAAACTTGGGTACTCATGCATCACTGTAATATGGTACCTTTAACTCTTTCAGGAAGATATCTAGAAGGGGGACAGTTGCATTGAATATAATTTCTAATTTTAGCTTTTGAGGACTCTCCTTACTGATTTCCCTAATGGTTGTACCAATTTACATTCCCACCAACAATGTAGAAGGGTTACTTTTTCCCTGAAACCTTGACAATATTTGTTATCACGTGGTTTCTCCTGTATGAGAAATCCAAATTGTAAATAAAGACAAAAATAAAATTTTTTAAACAAATCATCTACTCATTGCATAAGACCAAGAAATTGATTTGGATATTGCTAATTATACAAAATTTCATTAATATGGCTTTAGATTCCAGTTTCCTGGATTGGGCATATTATCAAAGAATGTGAACAATAATCTGAGAAAAGTCAATAGAATTCTCCTTTTACAATTACCTATACATGAGAAGCCACTGTTTGCTCATGTAACTCAACCAAAAGAACGTATGGTTACATTAAATGCAGAAACAAATATGAGAGTTCAGCTGTTTTCCATTAAGTGAGATAGAATAAAGATATCTTAAAAAATATTGTTTTTGCCAAGTATAGATATTTTTCATTAAAAATTTATTATGTTAACATATAAGATTTGTCCCAGTTTTATTACATTCTAAATGAATTCATGCATATTTTAACTTCTTATTTTTAATTTATAAATTATAAGTCAAATATTGAATGACACAATCTATATGATAAACAAAATCTTTTAGACTACTCAATGTTTAAGAACCACTGTTTTGTATATTTATTTAGTTTATAATATCACAGTATGTTAAATTTACCTCATTTTCTGGAGGATTTGGAATGTGTGGCTGCACTGGTTCCATTTGGACTTCTGCTTGAACTGCATGAAATACTTCATCATTATCTGATGATTCTTCTGCATTGTTCTTTGAAACAAAAATCAGTACAAATATTTCAAATATGAATAATAGGACCTATCAACTGCATCATCCTAATAAATAATTAACAGTATTCTTTTCAAAGATTTAAATCAGTCGTTTCTATAAATTTTTCCATCTGAATTCCTTTCAGAATCTGAGAAATGCCACAAATTGTATATAGAAAACTGCATGTAGACACACACATTTACAGGCATTTTCAGGGGGGTCTCCTGACTTCCTAAAGTTCATCTGTGGGATCAAGATTAAGAATCTCTGGCTTGATTAACTTATATCTCCAAATGAATTTTCACATTTAGTAAGCTGCTACAACTCTGGTTTGGGCATCTGAACAATGGAAGATCTGTAGCATAAAAATGTAAATATTCCTCCCTAATTAAGCTTCAAGCTATTAGAAGAAAATTATTTCCATTTTAAGCCAACCAGGTTATCCTTCAAATGAAAGGATGTAATAAAAATGTGATTTTTTTTTGCTGGTGAGATGAAGAATGAATGAATATATATATATATATATATATATATATATATATATATATATGTATGTATATATATGCATATATATACATATATATGTATATATATATCAAAATTCTAATAAAATTTCAGCTATGTCAAAGATGTAAGCCTTTTACTACAGCATTATTAATTTTCTCTTACTTTTATTTTCCTTCAAGACCACATATAAAGATATAAATATCTGTACAAGGGCCAGTAGTCAAGGTATTATTTATTGACATTTTTAAAAAATTTTTAAATGGCTTCCAACATATGTATTAAAAACAATGAATAACAGTAAGCATTACTATGCCTGAAACACTATGATTCTTTCAGGAATAAAGAAAATTCTTTCATTATACAAGGTGCATTACAGCTAAATGATTAATAGGACTCATAGAGACTAGTAAGTAGCATGTTATATGTCTCAATTTTCAGTAAATGTAATCATTCTGACCCATACTATCACCCTTCTCCATCATTGGTTCCTTCTACTTTATATAATGGAAGGTAGGCATACATTTCCCTTTTGCGGCCTTTCTTCTCTTGCTGTATTAAACATACCAAGGAATTAGCATCTGTTTAATTGCCCCAGTAAACCCAAAACTAAATAATTCTCCCTTTGTTTTAGTAAATAGTACAACTTCACCATTATAGAACAATATAAATTAATAATACATATGTGGATTATTTTAGATCCAAATTTTAAACAGACTTGAAAAATGCAAAATATGAACTATTCATTGTAATTCACTTAATAATGGCCACAAACTAAGAATTAGATAATTTAGATTATTTTAAAAGCAAAGTTTCCAAGTGAATACACCAGTTTCATAATATTTTTGTAGTAAAGCAAAACAGAAATTGTAGAGAATGGATAGCTCTGTAAATACCATGTGTTTTCTTTTTTCAATGCAAGGTGAGAAAAGGGAATCAGGGCCTCATTTTACTAAAAATGTGCTCTAGTATTTATTTACATATTTATGCAAGGTTCTTCTTTAGTTACTATATCAAATATTATTAAGTAGGTGGATGTGGATAATGGGATGTAATTCAGGATCATGACAATAATTCTATTATAGAAATGGATGCTGAAAATTATAAGAAAAAACTACTTTATTAATCTTGTCTAACCTCATTAAATTGATTATCAGGTGCTCAAATTTCTTTTTAAGATTAGTGTTGCCAGATTAATAAAACAGCTCCAATCCAATTATACACCTTTATGAGGTTTTGAAAGAATAAACTTTTGCTATTCTTAAATAAGGTAGAAATTAATGCATTGTATTCTACATTTCAAAAGAGTATACAGACGAACTTGCAACTATTTCATGATTTGTGGCCCTGTCATTAATTATGCAAGAAGAGTAGCTGATTAGTTAGATAGATATGATAACTATCTTCAAAATATTTTGGAAGCCGATTTTTAACTCATAACACCAGCTTAAGCATCTTTTTAAATATTGCTACAAAATTTAGTATAATTCACTTATGGAGTGAAGTGCAACATTCCATAACAAGAAAGAACTAATTAACTTATAGAGAAATAAAGAATGAAACATATTTAAATTATTAAACTGTTAAAATATTTAAAGATTAAAAATAATAATTTTAGGAGTGCCTATAGAGTCACTGTATTGGGTAAGGGAATAATATTTAAAAACTAATAATTAAAGCTATATATATATATATAAAACCTGGAGAATTCAAGTAATTTTTCTTCACATTTTAGTAAATCTCCTCTAGAATACAGGGAATATTTATCGCGTTTTTTATTAGTTCACGTTTGTGGTACATCATGAATATATTCATTGTATTATGAGATACAGGTACATGATGCATCCTATTTCATTTTTGCTCTCTTTATCTCCCCCACCATTTCTATATCCCTCTCATTTGTCAAAGATTTCTCTCTTTGTTCCCTATCTTCTTTTATTTTGCTTTTTGACTTATCTACACCTTGTCTTTCTCATATAAGAGAAACTGTGCAACTGTTAAACTCTCATGTCTGATTTATATAACTTAGCATTAGGTTTTACAGTGCAAAAATATAGTCATGAACTAGCATGTTTTCCCTGAAATTTTGATTGAATAAAAATATCAAAACTCTTACATTTTCAAATTGTCTCAGATCGGCCTCATGCTGGTTAAAGCTGCCTTCACACCTGTGTCGGCGTCTGCGCCTCCGGGCTCCTAAAAATGAGTGCTCAAGCTTTTCAGGTGATGACTTTGCCCTGAAATTCTTTGGTGACAATCTTTTTGCAAGTGCTTGCCTTAGACTAGAAACCCTGGATTTTTTTTTCGCTGGCTGTTCTGGTTGAGAATAAAACACATTTGATGACAGGTTTTCCATCAGGGTTTGCAGTAAACCGAGTGGCTTTGAGTTATGAGCATCTGGTGCTCGAAGCAGGTCTTTTGAGAGTCCGTCTATCAGTGCTTGAACTGAGTTAACTGCCTCTGAGGGCTCTAGTGTCCAGCTGTGTGATGGAGGTGACCCCTCAGTTGGCTGTCCTACTGGAATGAGCTCCTGAGTATCCAAATGTAGTGGCAACAGCACGTGGTGGCTCTGTGACAGTAGGGGCAGGAATACCTGGGCATGTACCCTTAATGGCTCAGGTTCTTCTGCCTCAGCATCTGCCTGTGCAGGCTCAGCAGCTTGTTCCTCTGCTTCTGGGTGTTCAGGTGCCTGGTTCTGCCCCGGATGCTGTTCAGGAACCTGGTTCTCTCTCTGCTGTTGTTCAGCAGCCTGACCTTGTCCTTGTGCTTGTTCAGGTACCTGACCTTGTTCTTGTGCTTGTTCAGGCATCTGACCTTGTCCTTGAAATTCTTCTGGCACATGGTCCAGGTCTTGAGGTTGTTTCAGTTCCTGGGTTTGTGATAGGGCCTGAGGCTGCGGCATTTTCAGTAATGGAGCCTGCAACTGTAGAGGCCTAAGTATCTTACCCTGAGACTGTAGTGGCATGAGCAACCGGGCTGCTCTCCGTAGTCGTGGAGATGCCTTAATCTGCATGTGCAGAGGCCTAGAAGCCTTAGCCTTAACCTGAGCCTGTAGTGGCATGAACACCCGAGCTGCCCTATATAGACGCTGAGATGCCTGTGCTTGCCCTCGTAGAGGCCTCTGTGCATTATCCTGTGCCTGTAGTGGCATGAACACCCTAGCTGCTCCATGTAGGTGCTGAAGTGCCTGGACCTGTGGCTCTTCTCGATCAGGTAACCACCTTGGCTGAGAAGGTTCTCCATGCAGCACTCTAAGTGGTCTGCATCGGCTGCTTGTTGGCAATCTCAGAAGCTCTTGAGTGCAAGAGGGTCCTCTGAAATAAGCATACAAATTAAAATTTTCACTCGATTGGAGCCATACAAGGGAACTGTTTATTTTAAAAGAAATATTTTCTGTCAAGAGATATTTTCAGGAAATGATTTTTGGGATGATTCCTGTAATGTTTGAAATTTCCTGGAGGTAACATTTGCAATGTCAATGTATCAAAATATTAATGGAGCCTAATAATCTGTTGATCATTCTATTGATGCATACTAAGGAGATTTTGAGTAGTAATAAAAAATCTCCAATTCAGTATCTTATGGAAATAGAGATCTGCTATTTGGGTAGTTCAGAAAGAATTGTTATTTTGCGCCAAAGGTCATTGTGTGGAATCAAGTGCATCCTTTGAATTGTTATCATAAAATTATAATTCAATTTGTCTAACTCACCTGAATCTTCTCATGGCATACTGTTCCTTAATTGCTTCTTCTCTTTCAAAGACCAGAGGTATATCTTTATATGAAAAAGAAATAAACAGTCCATAAATATCAAGCAGACTTACACAAATCCAGCTTAGTTGTTTTGTATCTGAAAATAGCAAAGATAACCCTTTAAACATACGGTTGGCTTCAAACAGACAGTATTCTAGGTTCATTTTTGCGACACTATACAGCTATTACAAGTAGATAAATACATCTGGGATCAGAAAACAAAATATAACAAACCAATTACTGGTGGAGAAAAAAGCGTGAATGAGACAAAGGTAAAATGAAGAGAAACTGCAGATGTTTGGTGCCATGGCTTATAGTTGTGAGCGCCACATTATAAAGATATTATGATTTGGGATTGATGTTTGATCTTTTCAAGGAGAAGGTAAAATCTTAACTCTTGATTTTCCACCTAACACATTTTAACACATTCAGTTTATTTCTTGCTATGTTATAACTATTGAAAAATATAAGCTTACACACAAGAATTTTCTTTTGAATTTCTTACATTAAAATGCTTAGGATAAGTATATTTACATCTTCAGTGTAACCAAAATATAAATGAGACTTTTTTTGTGGATATCATTCATGAAATGTTGCATTGCTGAATATCAATCATTAAGAAGCTGTGTGGTTTTGCTGCACCCCTTTGAGACCACTTGGCTTCTATGATGTTGGTTCAATGACTGCATTGCCAAAGGTACATAATTTACTCTAACTTCTCTTCATTTGAAAACATGGTGTATATAGTCATGCAGATATGACAAGCATCACTGCATTGCAATATATCCTGCAGTTGATATGAGGATGCCTGCCTTGTGTCTAACGTCCCCATTTCCATTCCATTATTATTCTAGACCCTATGTGCAAGCCATGAAATTAAATGTATACTACGTTACACATCACAAACAAGTTTCCCAAGTAGTTTCTCCTATATTTGGTGACAATCTATCATGTCATTTTGACCATTAATAGATAGAAGCTCATTTCTATTTGTTTAAACTAGTCCCTTTAATTACATCTGATAGTTGGCAATTGCTATGTAAAATGAGGCTGTGTATGTACAAATATTATGTTAAAATTAGCAGTTAAAATGGTTAATTATAAATTCACTTTTCACCATACAGTCATCTAAAACAGTTTTAGTTAGGAGTTAATTTACCACATTACAAAATTTTATTTGTGACTTTCAGCTTCTTGATACATAAAAATACTTGCCAAATATAACTGGCTGTAATGAATAACCTCATATAGAACTGCACAAGTCAGAGGTAATTGAATAACAGAACAAATTATTAGGAAAACTAAATGCAAAAAGCCTCGGAAATTTTACTTACAACTTAATTCTCAAAAAATATTTTTCTTGAATTTTTGTCATTTTTCTTTTTCTATTCCTTCATTTTCCCCTCCCCCACACTAGTTCTTCTTTCCTTTTGAATATATCAATAAATTTAATTTTTAAAAATTTCCTTGAAATCAATAAATGAATAAATTCTACTTTCATCTAAATATTCATTCCAGTGAAATGAAACATCTCAAATTCTACCTTTTTTCTGTCGTTTTTTAATGATTCCAGTAAGATGCTTTGTTAATGACTCAATAACATGTTGTTCATTTTTTATATCCTGAACAAATGGGTGATGAAGCATGTTTGCCGAAGTAGGACGAAACAGGAAGTTCTTTATCATGCACTTTTCCATGAAATTGTGGAACTTTCGGGACCTGAAAGAAATGAATCAAACAGATAAAAGGTTTACCAGCCTGTCACATATCTTCCTTCCCTACCCACATGCCACTCTGAAAGTCCTATTTTTGGAAAGAGTTGTCTCTATAATAGTCACTTCAGTTAGCATATATCCCACACTTCCTTAATTTACATTATACGATGAAGCTATTTAGAAAAAAGGAACCCAGAATCAATAGCATTTTACCTAGATTATAGTAGAAATATCAGTGAGCTCAGCAGTACATACATGATAAAAATTCTCATGGCGATTTCATGGTTAAGAGGTTAATATAATGTAGTTCATGAGAGCAGATTGGCTGCCCTCACAACAATCAACCAGTGAAGCCTGGATATTTCACTTACTATATTCAGTTTTAGCTACAGAATAATTAACGTAACAACTCAAAAATCGGGTGCTAACTAATCAAGATTAGCTAATCTTAGAAAGTCACCCTTGGAAACAAGTGACCCAAAATCCATAATTTATGGAGAAAGTTAATTTGAACTATAAAGAATCCCAGCAATAAACTCATGGTAACCATTTCTACTACTGAAAGCAGTAAATACTAATAATAATCTAAGAATTTAAGTTACTAGGCCAATAAGCTTTAGAGCAAAGAACTTCCAAGTTTTCTAATGTATAGCTTAGTGGAAGAATGAGTCTTTGGCTGTAGGTCTATGGATGCTTATACTGCTATATATAATCATTAATGCCAGCCCACATAGGCACAGTGAAAAACTTTACAAAATGTTGCCCTTGATCCATCTCACTACCATGGAAACAAATGAAAAGGTTTGCTAATGACTGGGCAGTAAGGCCATAGTCATAAACTATGGGTAATATTGCTTATTTTTAATTGACTAATGAAAACTGGTCATTGAGACGTTCAAGTTAAGATATTGTGTGTTAGGAAATGTTGTTCAACAACGATGGTGAAACAGAACCAATCAACTGATGGAAGAATTTGCTACATAAAAATGTTAAATCAACGTGCTTAGGAGATTGACATTTGTCTTTACCATCCACTAGATTTGACTGTAGGAGCAGATTCTCGTAAAATCACGAAGAGGGCTTCCAAGGGCTGAAGGTTACACAGAGCTGCAAAGGAAAATAAATATGTTTATAGAGAAGGAAAAGGCTAACTATAAAATGCACTTCTCAATCTACAGGGAATATATTTTAGTATTCTTTCACATATCCTGCTAAAGAACTGTGTAAGGTGAATAGATACAAAGGCATATAGCTAAAGGTAAAAATCAGTTTAACATAAACAGTGCGTCTTATAAGAGTTTAAAGCTTTACCACCACCAAGTGGAACAAATCAGCAATAAATTAATTAGATAACATTTTCAAAATGTTGATGTATTAGATAGAAAATTTATTCAAACGTGGAGAAAAACACTCTTTTGTGTTTTCATATTGTAGGTATTTACAGCTACAAAGTGAAACACATGATTGTAGTTTGAAAAAATGAATGCAGCTTGTCCCTGAGCACAGTAATGTGTAAAGAGGGATGCTTTAGCAGTCTACAGACCTGAGAAAAATCTGTTTAGGAAGCTAAGAGAACTAGAAAGAAGGTATAAATAGTTCAAATAATTGTTCAGAACACATTCTCTCAGGATTCAAATCTTAGCTCTCTACCTTTGTGACCTCTGCCTGTTTATACCTTGGCTTCTTCATCTGACAAACAGGAAATATAGAAGAAATGCTTTCTAAAGAGTTGCTATGAATATTTAATATTAAATATTAAACACAAGTAAAAGTGTCTGGCATTTTCAGTTGCTAAATAAATACTAGTTAATGATGTTATAATAAATATTTACACTTTCTGACCCTTCAAGTCTGTTCCAAATTAAGGAAATTTCATTATTTTGTTCTTATATATTGCTATACATAAATAGCTGATGCTAGTATGTATTATATAGATTAATCACTTCACTGATTTAGGAATTCTGGACTTTTCTCTAAGTGTTTAAATATGTGTCTCACTTCACTTATTCTTTCTTGTGCTTTAATTAAAGAAAGCTAGCAGTGCAAACAGTTCCTAGATAGCCATGGTGTAAATTTCTTCTAACCCTATAAGCATGTCATTCATGTGAGGACATTTTCCACAAATGATTTTTCTAGAAACATTCTTCCTCTCCCAAAATACATCTTCAGAAAACCTACAGTGTCAAGTTTCCCTCTCATAGTAATACAATAATGCTGCCTCCTCAAAGTTACTTTACCAGGATAACATAACTAATGCTATTGTTCAAAGGTCATACTTTGTTCTCAACTGCATGGGTACATATAATTGAGCACAGAATTAGCTCCAAACTCAAAAGATCAGGATTATATTGACTCTCTTATTTCCTTTATTGTGTGCAATTGGTCATTAACTTCTATTTTTTAAACATATTTTGTACTTATATTAAAATGTTTGTTATTATTTGCTAATATCTGAGCATCATTCAGTGAGCTGACATGTTTAGAAGTCACGAGTGACTGCATAGCCTAGAAAAGGCTTCATTAGTAGAGCAGAAAAGCTTATAGAAGACTGAAGTATAGGGAATCTAAGGAGCAATGTCAACAACAGCTGTGGAAGGTTTCCTATACTGTTTAATTTTAGGAATGTTGATAGGTGTCCATATCAATCTATGTCTAATAACAGAGCCCAAATGTTCACCATTAGAGGCTCCTTTCTTTGAATAGCAAAATGTCTTGTAAATATCACATCTTAAGCCAAGCTTAGTTGGAGATCCATTAAACTTTGCTTGATTTGGAATAGGTTAAGTAATATAGTTTATTCCTAATATCTGTTAAGACTTGAAGGAATCTTCTGCATATAGAAGAAATGAGGTTCTTGGTGGGACACAGGTAAATTTGAATCATGAGATAGTCAGGTAAATACTAACATTGGATGTGAGAGAGACACAATAAAAGCAACAATAGAAGCAACATAATGAACAAGTGTGTTGATACGAAGAATAATTTCCATAATAGCAAAAAGCATGCCAAATTAGATAAGATTAATGTACATTAGTTACTATGCAAAACTACAAGGAATGAGTTTTGACCTCATCTTGCTTCTAGGAAATAGTCACATTTACCTAAGAGTGAGGTTAACTCTACAATATTAGTTGACATTTAATATGCTGTTTGAGTGACAACTAGAAATGTTCTAGCTTTTGTTTAACAGTCCTCATATTGCTGAAATTCCTGTGAGCAACATAAAGAATGAAGACAATTCTGGTGTGCAAGGATCCAATCCTTTCTTTTTAAAGATAAAAATGTTCTTTAAAACTTTCATGGTTAATTTATTCTTCTCCTTTCATATATCTCAGGAGATACTTACCAAATAAAGATCAAGGGGAGAATAATTTATTATTTGGCTCTCAAAGGATAATATCCGATAACTGTTACTTTTGAAAATCATTTCCTCTGGGGTGATAATTATAAACCAAGGACTGCCACAATTGAATTGATGAAAAACCATTTTTGTGCATAGCTACGGCTCCAGGCAATAATGGAATTTATTGAAAAATAAATGTTTTAGCAGTTCAGCTATCTAGTTACTCATGACCAGAGCTGCACCATTTCAATTACTTATCCAGACAAATTGGCTTTATATTCTCCCCTTGTGATTTTAGAATATGGTGGTTTTCACTAATCTCTTGCAAGAAGCTTGCCATTTGCATACTTTGTGTCAAATTCCTGTGCATTCTCTCTATGAATTTGTTCATCATTTCATTTCCTCCCATAACTTAATATTTTGGGATAAAAAATGAGCTTTTAGGGGAAGACATTGTGAGAAGCACTTGGAAACAATGGGGACAAAGATGTACTTAGCCATCTTGCATAACTACTTAATGAATAATGAATCCCAACCAAATTTATGTATAAATACTAATATGATCTATTGTATTGTACACTTAAAGAAAGAAGGATAGGGATAGGGATAGGGAGTAGGGAGAGGGAGAGGGAGAAGGAAAGTGAGGGAAAGAGAGTGAGAGAGACAGAGAGAGAGAGAGAGAGAGAGAGAGAGAGAGAGAGAGAGAGAGAATATAGAGGATAGAGAACTTGAAGAAGTGCCACCAGAAGTGGTAGCTGCTCTACTCCTCAACCTACCATAAAATAGAAAAGCATATTTTCTAGACAAAAAACAGAAGATAGGGTTTACATCTCCTAGTCTTATTTCAAGACTGATTCTATATCTGTTTTAACTTTATTTTGAATCTTCTTTGGTATTCCAAAGAGTACCATAAATAGGCAACAATTATATTAGCACTATGTATACTTCCGGAAATTCTTCCCATTGATTTTGCAACAAAATGCTAAGATAGTTCAAGTTTGCACACTTGTGGTGGTTGGATGTTATGAAGATAGACTGTATAAGTATATGAGAACATACAGGATTTTTGGAAAAGGGGATACAAAGAAGTCTTCCCACACAATCCTTAAAGGCATTTTTCTCTCACTTCTCACACAACTTACCATTTATTCATTGTCATTTATAACTTGAGATGTAAATATTGAGAACAGAAAATGATATAGAGTCATATATTAGATAGCTATAAATCATTTATACCATTGATCCCATTCCATTTTCATTTTCCTACCATAAAGCAGTGCTTTAAGAGAATAGGTTGTCGCTTGCTCATTTAAAGGATAAAGAAGTTGGCGAATACAACAGAAAATACAGAAAAAAGAAAGGATCAAGAGTGAGCGATATTGACTGAAAAGAAAAACAAACACCAAACAATGCTTAATACCCAACATTTCTTATGACTGACTCAATTTAAATGAGCCACTGGAGGATTTTTTTTCCACCTGCCATAGCCTGAAGCATTAGTAGCATGTGACTATATATTTTCTGAAACTTAAATTTTTCACTGGTCAGTGTAGACTGGAATACTTTAGATTCTTTTACTCAACAAGTGCAAGACCTAGCACTACAGAAGCTAAATTGAAATAACACATAACCTAACACTAGCTATCATAAAAAACACACAAATTGTTTTTATACAAATCTGACAATTTGCTTTTTGGTTTTTTGAAACAGGGTCCCTCTTATTGAGCCCAGGGTGTCCTTGAGCTTATAGATACATCTCCTTCTTGAATTATAGGCATATACCTAACTCAAATATGGTAATGCAAACAAAATTTATTTGGTAATTACTGAAATGGTAAATCACCAGTTATGATCTTGCACATAGTATGACAACTCTGTGACCAGTAAAACCTAAGACAGCTATGTGATTTTCTTCCAGACGACAGATTTATATGTATATTTCCTTAACCTTTAACAAATGCAAAGATTGTTACTTACGAGGCACCCCTTCAGCCATCTCAATAGCAGTGATTCCCACAGACCACACATCACTCTGAAAAGGAAAAGATGGCCAAAAACAGGTCACTTACAAATTAGAGATTGGTGGTATTAAGAAATTAAAAACAATCTTTGGCTAGTTATAGAAATATCAATGCCAGAGCCAATTTGTGTGTCTTCTTTATGGAAGATTCATTATACACTGACTCCATAACAAGATAGTATTTGAGCTTGTGACCGTCTAGTACTGCACTATATAATGCGTTGATATAGAATGAGGTTCAGCACAAGATAAGTTGCCTTACATGCTGTTGTATTCTTACATGAAATATGAAAGTGAATTTGTCATAAAGAAGTTCTATCACAGAACCAGCATGATTTTGGGCAAACGATTTAACTCTCGATAATTCAATTTCTAACTATGAAAAATGCTGATTATAACAGCAGCCACTCCCTTGAAATAGTGTGCTTTTATGTATAGGCATATACTCCCTTAACATAAAAATGCATTGCACGTTTATATTAAGTATATAAGTATACATTTAACAATTTACCAAATAATATATGACATCATATATTACATATAAAAAGAAGTATGTACTGGCTAATATATTTATATGTGTAAATATAAATATTTTAGTAGTTTCTAGAATATAATACATAGATACTAGAATTATGGAGATCTTGGAAATTATCCTCACCACTATTACCTATACCTTTTTTTTTTCAGAGCATAGAAAGGGCATAGTCCTAGAGGTGCACTGCTTGGATGACTCCTAAATAGTATAAAAGTATTTTTGGCTACCCAATTTACAGATCTCTTCAGTTTTGTTATCTAAGCTTAAGGTTTCTTTTGGGTACATGGGGTTAAAAAGTTAAAAAAAAAATAATACTGATGAAAGTCCTTGGAAGACACTAAGATATATACAGGAATAAAGCACAACTTTTTAAGCAAGCCATTTGAAGAACTGTATGTTTTTTTAGTCTCCAGAAGTCCTAGGATCACAGTGAACATGCAATAAGCTCTTAGTAAATAATACTTTGCAGGTCAAGGAGAGGACATTTAAGAAAATGGAAAAGAGATGAAACAAATTAATCAACTTCAAATATTTAGTATTAGGTTCCATACAGGAGACCACAATGAATTGTTTGGATGACTTACAATGTGGAGAGCGAGTGAAGATTTTCCAGTCTATAGCAAATGCAGTTTTCTTTATTTCCACATCAGGTTTTTAGTGCATATAAAGATATATATTGTGCATATTGCAGCTTCAGTGGAAATTTTAATACATAGCATGAATTTTACTTAATTTATCTATTCCACTGATTTTCCTGTGGTTTTAGAAGTGGGCCATGCCCAAAGGATTTTCTCCATTACCCTAAATAATCAAATTATTTTTTGTCCTTTTTGAAGCGAAGTTATTATGGGGATTAATCATTGGTTTAACATTTATTCATTTTTGAGTTTATAAAACCCACAAAGCCCTGGAAGGTAATTTTTCATACAAAGCCACATAATATAATATTTTTATGTAGAAATTACAAGCAATTTGAACTAGACATTCTACTTCCCAATAATTCTTCATGGTTTACTTTGTCTACATCCTTATTAAATATTATTTTTATGCATACTATCAAAACGCATCCAGGAATAGAAGAGTGAATATGAAAAAAAAAACTGCTGTTTGCTTTACATTCTTTTATTTGATCAATTAAAAGAAATATTAGTCAAAAATCCTCTCAAAATTTTGCTTCCTTCTGTTGGATCCTCACACTTACTCTGTAATCATAGGAGTGTCTTGGGTCCTCATCACAGTTAATCACCTCTGGTGCCATCCAGTATGGTGTTCCAATGAAGCTATTTCGCCTTCCATTAGCTCTGCTTACCTGGGCACTCACTCCAAAATCCACTGCAAAGATCGGAATATATCAAAATAATTATTAAGGAACAAAAATCTCAGTTGGTTACTGCTTTAACTTGGAAAGTCAATACGAAAATTACAATGGATAACAGATTTTTCATTCCAGTCCAAGAAACTATCATGAAGTCTACTCCAGGAACACTGTGAAATAAGTGTTTGCTGCTGTTCATGTTGGAATGAGACTCCACAGCACCACTATCTACAGTAGGTTTGGCTGAATATTTATCAAGAATATTAAAATTGCAGTTTCACTGGTATACCCTGCACCTCTGCTGTGATACCATACCTAGTGTTTTTAACTGTCACCAAGGTGGAGGAAGGACAGCACTCTCAGCAATATCTCAGAAAGCTATTAGCACTTGTGAAATCAGAAAGTACTATCACACTTAAAAGCAGAATAACCCTTCTGATTGAATTTAATTTAAATTCTTTCTTTCATCTTCTGAATTAGACGCAAATATGTACCATGGTCTCTATATTTAGCTTACCCTATAAAGATTCAATTTTCTAATCATCTGTGTGATGCTTTACAAATGATATTTAGTATGGTATCCTCACGAACAGACAGAAAAAAGACTGATGTAGACAGGCTATTTATAAAAAATAAGACAGGGATTAAAAATGAAGTAGATTTTCTAATTGATAATGGTCTTTAGGAATCCAATGAATGATGATCAAAATTGACTTAAAAGCAGTTTGAAGAATTTAAGAGAAGAAAAGAAAAAAGTAAAATCCTAGTAGTTTAAGACAATCTTTAGTAAAAGATCTATTACTGACAGAAAAAGTTCAAAGTATTGTAAAGTATTGTGAAAATCAGTATTGATTGTTGCATACTTTGATTATCTAAACTCTTCCTCCCTCCCTCCCTTCCTTCCTCTTTCTCTTTCTTTCTTTCTTTCTTTCTTTCTTTCTTTCTTTCTTTCTTTCTTTCTTTCTTTCTTTCTTTCTCATGAATAGGTTAAACCAGCATTCCCACTAGCCCTAATGGTCAACTTTAAGGACCAAGTAATACCTAAAATCCCAGAAGCTAATATATGGCATATATGCAGGAAAGAAAAGAAAAGGAGAAAATACTAGAAAAAAAAGTGATGAACAGAAAAAAGGGGAAAAAAGAAAAACAAAAGCTGAGATTGAGATAAAAAATGAAGCTGAAACTTCAATAATGGCTCAACTTAACCTTTAGTTTAATTACTTTGGGGAGTGGAATATGTATATTATTAATTATAACTACCATATAAAAATTTTCCTGTCCTTTTCCTCACTTTCATTTCCTTTGGCTATCATTAGTTTCGCCTTCTGCAACTTTGTCACTATGTGGTTTATAAATATCCTATGATGGTGGTGGGGTGAAGCTCAATGATACAAGATTTTCCTAGCATGTACAAGGTCCTGGATTCAATCCCCAGCACTGCAAGAAAAAATAAAGCTATGATCTGAGAAATCTAAATATACTGTGAAAAGATTATATGTAAAATTAACTGTAAAAAGTTATAATCAATAAAAGGTCTCCTTCAGTGTGAAATACATAAAATTTGATATGAGGACTTGATGACAGTTATTTTAGTGGTTTTTTTACTTATAATTTGTGTTGCAAATGGTCATGACAGCAAATTGATCTGAACATAGTAACAAAGTGTTGCACTATATGTATACTAAATATTTGGCTTTAATGTGGACTGCCTACTCAGTACATTGAAATTAGAAATCTATGTACATCTTATGTTTTTAATATAGTTTCATAAAGTTATTAGATTTGTAGCTTTTAGATACAAAAGAAACAACATATTTCTTGACACTCATTTATTTCAAGAAAAAATTAATACTGCATACTTCTTTTACAAATGTCTAATGAAAAATATTCTTAGTAAATGTTCAAAATCCATAGTTCTGTTAGTTTAGCAAAAAGGGTAAGATACCTTGAATTTACATTAAAAGATATGTCAAAAATATTTGATATAATGAAAAATAATACAGATAATTGGTTATGTGTCCTTATATAGTACTGACATATTCAATGACATTATTAAAAACCAATCATTGGAATATATATATATATATATATATATATATATATATATGTATATATATTTATATATAATGACAAAAATTACAAGGTATTAATCCCTGTGGAACTGACAATGTGTGTGTGTGTATGTGTGTGTGCATGTTTTTAATAAATTATACCATTCTACATATTGAAATAGAAATCTAGAGACTTTATGGTTTTTTATTTTTACTTACAAATTTAATTTTGATAGCATTAAAGAATCATTTTTGGGTTTTAACTCAGTGGCCCAAGTGCCTCCCTGGCAAGCGCAAGGTCACAAGTTTGATTCCTAGTATAGCCCCCAAAAAGAAACATTTCTGATTGATAGAATGTCTTTAAATGTTTGAGAAGTTACAGCAAAGAAGCAATTGGTGTTTATGTAATTTAAAATAATTTGATATTCATGGAAATAGAATGTGAATGTGGGAAGAACTTTTTAAAATCCTTCACCATGATATATACATTTGTACATGGTAAATACTAAATTCACTTTCTGAAATAAATATAATAGCTATTTATAACAGAGGGTAAAGTAAAGACCAAAAAATAATACTGCCAATTATACATTTAATATGTTCTCTGGCTTATTAGTCTGCTTTTAGTCTGATAATAAAATTTTATAAGGTTTTATAAGATTATAAATAAATTTGCTGCTGGAAAAATAAAAGAAGGGTTCAGAGAAGAGAGATGGAAATTTAAGTGGGCTATGTACATTTACCAATTACCAACAGTGAATGTAATCATGTACCGACAACATGCACTAATAAAAGTCAAAAAACAATTTATTATTTTTATCTAATTTCAAAGAACAGATGAGTTGCATCCCAACTCCCTCTCAAACAAATTTTAAAATTTGGCTAGTTTTTCAGGTACAGAAGACCCGGCTCAAATAAGTAAAAGATATTATCAGAGACATGAAAGTTATATTAATGGAGTTTTCTCTGTTACAGTGTTTTGGGTCTAACATAATACACTGCAAAAGTAAACTTACCCAGTTTGACTTCAGCATTATGAGTCAGTAGCACATTCTGACCTTTGATGTCCCGGTGAATTACTCGGTGTGCATGAAGGTGAGCTAATCCCTGTATATATACATTAATATATATACAAAAAGAAAAGTCACATCAGTATGTATTTTTCTCTTTTTTGGCACTACTGGTATTTTTTGGAAAAACATTTGGTAAGAAATGACCCAGATTTGAGTTTTCAGACAAAATTCTTCCTTTAGGCTGGAATTACTACAACAATTTCCCAGAAACTCTACTTTTGGCCATAAGGAAAGGAAAATACACCAAGAAACCCATGAAAGAACAAAACACCAGAAAGTAATGTGTGTATACATTAGGCAATTTTACATTAGGCTCCTTTTTAACTTCCATATTTCCAATTAACTATAAGAGTAAAGAACTGCACATCTTGACCATATCATAGCTCAGACATAGTTTTTCTTTGTTCACCATCCAACTGTTTGTGTAGTCCAAAATATTTTCAGTCAGCCTTGTAGGCTGAGTATTTGAGGGAATATGGAAATTCATTTTAAAATATTTGTAATTTGTTTTGGCTTACCCTGCTGGCCCCAGTCCATTCACCACTAAAATTAACCCATGACCTAGCTAAATTATTGCATTGTATGTAGTATTAGGCTGCTGTGAGTTTTCTCTAAACATTAACTAGGAATAAATAATAGAAGTAATAATAAAAGCAACTAAAATTTTGAACCCTTATTCTTTTCTAGATATTTTGCTAAATGCTTTGTATGGAATAAATTATTAAGTCACAGTAATCCTTTGAGGGATATCCCAGTAACTATTATTTTATATGTGCATGATGAAAGTGAGACTGGAAAAATTAAGTAGCTGACTCAAGGCCACACGGCTAATACATGGTGAAATATAATTTAAACTCAGTGCAGAGTGTACACACTTAGCCATTCACATTTTTTTCACAAATGAGTGTAATCAAATTAGAGGAGGGATATTATAACAGTGTTGAATGGTGCTGTTCATTTCTGTTAATGCCATCCTTTTGTTATGTTAAACACTTAAACCACAAAGAAAAAAAAACAGTTTGGTAGGGTAAGAAAACTGTTGCTGTCATGCAATCAAGTGTTAAAATAATTTTAAGAATTATATATATATATATATATATATATATATATATATACCCATTCAAGGAAGATATCTGTCTAAAAAAGGCTGTTGATAGCAGTTTGGACCATTCTGTAGAATACTGACTTCTTACAAGCCCTTGTCTTAATCTATGATGATAGTGGTATGCTTCTTATAAATGAACTCTAGTGGTGGGGATATAGCCATAATAGTATACCACTCACCTAGCACAGGTGAAGCCTGTTTTTCAATCTCCAACACCACAAAAATGAAATAGAAAAGAACTATAACTCCTGAAAATATAACAATCCAAAATCACTGACCCACTGAACACAGTAATTTGAATTTGTAGCCATTAATGCCTATGAGTTGGAAGAACCTGATTACACATGTTGTGGTCCAACATAAAATTGAAGAATACAAACTCAATATTTGGTTTTTCCCAACCTTTATTTTTGTGATCCAAATGTTATGTTTATAATTCTCTCTCTCCTTTCTTTTTCTGTTTTTTTTTTTCTTGCTACATTTCAAATTCAGCTTGCATTCAGATACGCTTCAAGTTCAGATGAATTTGAATTTACAGTGTTCCTCATTTTCAGCCTCTGCAGTAGTTGTAACTACAGGTGCACACTGGTATTAAAGTTCTTGAGCAATCATATATGTGATGTAGACTATACTGTGTATATGCCTCCTAGGTTCTTTCAAGATTAGAGAAGAATGATTACATGAAAACTCACCTGAAGGATTTCTCTGCAGATATAAGCAATCCAGTCTTCTTTTAGACTCTGATTTCTAGTCATTCTCACAACATCAGTGACTGAGCCTGCTGCACATAACTCCATCACAATCTGCAGAGAAGCCATCAAAAATATAAAGAATTAGAAAGTCATATTCTGAAAACATCCAGAGAATTTTAGACAGTGTGGCTTGTTTTTATATGCAAAGTTTAGAAATTAAAGCAATGCAAAGTGTGACGCAGTTGTCTTGGAGGACTCAAAGACTAGGGTAACTGGAATTTGTGGAACAGGAAAGCCAGGTATCATACTGGAGATATTTAAATAAGATGAGGTATTTTAACTAAGTCTTGAGTTATAAGTAGTGTTTGCATATTCTTAGAAAGAAAATGTTCAGTTTATGGAAAACAGAAGGAACAAATGCTCTCAGAAAGAAACTACTAGAGGGGATAAGCCTGAGCTATGATTAGGGTGCAAAGAAAGGGCTAGTTGAGGCAACAGATTGTTTTAAAGTGAAAAAGTAGCACATGTGGGTTCTAAAAAGAGTACACATGAATGTTAACAGTCAGTCTGATTTTAATTGTTTTGTTTATTTTCAAACTCTACATTATTTTTCCCCAAATCCTAAAAATCTACAGTCCCAAGAGGGAATTTTCAGTTGAATTTCTATATGATTTGTTTCAAAGTGATTAATGCTAAAGAAGTTTATTTTAAGCAAAAGAGCTTCATTTTAAATTACCATTAATCTGGACCTTTGACAGCATTCCATTAGATTCTACTGTTAATACACTCAATATCTCAGAAAAATTATCTTTGCCACAAATGAATTCAGTGCCCAAAGCAAGAGGCCAGCCTGGGCTGCAAAGTGAGTTCAAGGGCAACTGAACTGCATGGCAAGATCTTGTCTCAAAAGACCAAAGGAAAAAAAAGAAAGAAAAAAGAACATTCCTAATCAAAGCTCATTTTCTTGATATTGTACTTTTGGAGGTCAGCAAAATCTCTGGTGACTGTGGTTTATTTAATGTCTGATTAGCCTCTAAAATTTATGTTTCTTGATTTGGGTTTTGTGATACTCCAATCATGATGACTAAGAAAAGGGTGAGTCAATTAACTAGGAAAGAGTTTTGAGGTGTTGTTTTATTTAAGTGCATAAACTTTGAAAATGCTTAAAATGTACCTATATACTCATAGTCAATTGTTCATTATGAAGTCTTTATTTCCCAAACCATCAGAGCCTCCATACCAGTAAAGCAGTGACTACTTTCAGTTAAATGTGGCCAAAACATATTTGAAAATATTTATTTTGCATATTAACAGTATTCATTTGAGTCTTCCCCTATCCCACCAACAGACTCTTGCTAGACAGATAAGTTATTTTTTTTTTTATTTCACCACTCTCATCTCCAGGAACTAGAGTACATATTCCCATTATTGTCTTGAGCAATTGAGTAAATAATTTTCCAAAGGTACACACAAGTGACACATCAATTCATAACAAAATATAAGTTTGTATAAGATATTTTGATTGAATATTGTCAAGATAATTAAAAGCATACCCAAAGTTGGTGCCTGTGGCCAGGAGGACTCAGCTTGAAAAATGCACCATAGAAAGACACAATGTTTTTGTGGAAAGAATACTTCCTCAGAAGGTTGAGTTCAGTCCTGAGATCCTCTTCCTCATCCTATGGAATTAAGAACAATGAATTTCTAAACCATGCAATTCAATGACTATTGATCTCCAAACTAAAGTAAATTCATAAAGTAAAATCCAATGCAAGCTCTTATACCCAACAGTAAATTATAGTAAAACCTCAACTTGAACTTTCAGTAAATGGCAATCTCTGGTTAACTTGGTATTCTAGGGGTAGGGGGAGAGAAAGAATGATAAATTCATGCTGTCTTAATTCAGCAGTTGCTAAAAAGTGGTTCGTGGATCAGCACAACCAATCATTGTAAAACATTTTGATTGAATGGAGTCAGAGAATTTTGTTTGCTTTTTAAGATAAAAATAACTTGTTTTGTTGGGGTTTTTTGGTTTTACTCAAATATTGTACACATACTCTATAATTTACATGTGTAAACTATACTATTTAATCTTTTTAACATAGAGAGTTGTATATTTATTATGACAATCAAATTTAGAAGATTTCTATCACTCCAAAATGAAGAAAAAATTACCTTATCAGATAAAAAGTTTTCAAATATTTCTTTATTTTGTGAGGCTTCCTTGAACTTCCTTGACAAATGTTCTTAGAGGCTCAAAAGTTTACAAATTTTGATGAATTCCAGCTTATAAATTCCTTTTTTTTGTTGTTGTTTATACTTTGGTCTTATATCTCAAGATATATTGCCAAATAAATGTCATAAAAATTAATTTTTTCTTTCTTCTAGATATTTTACAATTTTAGCATTTACATTTAAGTCTTGGATCCACTTTGAGCTAATTTTTATAGAAAGTAAAGATCCATGTATGAGTACGATCTCAAATTGTATCCATTTACCTATAATAGTCACAGGCTTATTGTCTCACTAGCGTGGGAAACTGAGTAAATAAGAACCAAAATATACAATAGATAGCATAAATTGGGAATAAACTGTTCAAATAAAAGAGAAACTGTAATGAGGCAAAAGGGAAAAGGAAAAATCTAGACACACAAGATAGTTAAAATAGTTATGATAGAAACTAGTTTCTATCATAAGAAACTGAAAAAGAAGGTTTGTGCTAATATTGTTTGGACAATACACAATGTATTGATTATTGTTAGTCTCTAATTATCCTGTTTTGAAATTCTGCTTTATTTGTTTTCCTTAAAATTAAAAAAAAGAAAATATAGGTCTAATCTCAATATTTTGTATGTGGATAGTTAATATCATACTGCCAATTGGTCTGTGATTTATCTCCTTTTAAAGGCATTGTTTTGTTCTATGCTAACCTTTCTTAAAAGTATGATTTAAGTAATTTATTTACCTAATCAAAGCAGTGGTACATCTATATGAGGTAAGATACACAAGTAGTGTGCTTTTATGAGAAATTTCCTCTAAGCTTTGCTAACAATTCATAGTGCATTTTTTCAGATATCTATAAATACTAGTGCAGTAACTATAACAGTGTTAGAAATACATATGTACATATTATATAACATGGAAATTTATTTTTAGTATAAACAAACTCATGTTTTTCTCAATATTCTGAAACTTTCACATGTTTATTAATAAATCACATCTTTTTTACAATTTTTATTCTTATTAGTATATGTTTGCCATACCTAATTGTTACAATTCCTTTTAATAAGTTTGTACATGTATCTAATATATTTTATTTCTTTCTGTATCCTCTTTTCCTCCTTTCCTGCCCCCTTTTCACATAATTTGGCCCCCTTCCCTGTGGAAAACACAACTTTCTATATTAATAAACAAATGCACATACTTTGTGGAATTATAAGATTGCACAAAATGAAGGTACAGGTCTGATGTTCAGGGATCAGTTCTAGAGAGGTTACTATTTTTGGTAATTATCTTTATAGAAAACTTGAAGCCCTCAAAATTGGATAATATCATTAAAGTAGAACACATAGTAGAAGAAATAGCACTAGTGGAAGCTGTATAAAAAGCAATCAGAAAAGGGCATCTACCCTGGGCATTAGGACAACTGAATTTGAGCATTGATTTCCCAGAATAGAACATTACCTTAATCATCTGAAGCTTTGATTTACTTTAAAAATAATGGAAGATGTCAAACATTACCTATCTTCATGAATAGCTATTGGAATGAAATTTGATGTTATGCATAATGTCTCAGAAATTCTAGGAAGAGAGATGCTATACACACAATCTATTATCAAAAAAATACCCGTTACTTCCCCCTTGTCTGAATAACAATGCTATCAGAACTGTAGCTCTCTGTTTAATTTTAATCTTAATCTACAGATATTATCCCCCTTCATTTGCAGCGTACTGATTATTATGGAATGCAATCAGAAGTTATTCTTTCTCCTTAAGCTTCTGCTATGTCTCCTTGTAAAATGACTGTCAAATAGTTTTGATATCCCTTTTATGACTTACTTCTTAAGGAATATTTAAAAAAACTTTACTCTTAATAACTTGAAAATAACCACACTTTTGTGTATGCATTTAGTTACATACTAAGGAAACAATACAGTAACTTGCTAAAAGATACCTAAATTGCTAGGAATTCATAGTGAATGTATTATTGATTTGTGCATTTACATGTTATTGCTCTAATTTAAAGAAACTACCATATGATAATATAAGATTTACATGCAAGAATGGCATTGTGATAGGCAATTGAGTTAGACAGATATATTATAGGCAGTCAGACAGGGCTGGGCCCTTGAAGGAGTCAATGCAGAGCATCAGATACCTTGCGTCCTTGGAGGAGACAGACACCTCCCACTACAGGCCAGACCTCAACACAAAAGATCAAGCAAATACATCCACATCCTAAAGGTTGATATTTCAAACAGTTTTCTATCACCTTGGGGAAGACAGGATTTACCATGCTAACCCCCTACAGGAGGAGTCACTGCTCTGTACACATGTCCATGACTTGCTTCCCTATTTGTCCCTGATTTAATCAATTTTATTTGAGCAATTAATCTCATTGGTTGGCCATAGTTTTGTCCCACCTTATGCCTACTTTGAGGGTTCCTATGTTTTCCCCGCGTTCAACCTACCTCACTTTGTGGTTTTACTTTATAGAAGTCCCTAGAAAAGACAGAGTCTTTGCCAACCCACTCGGGACCCCTTCTGTCTTTATCTCAGATGGAACTTTTCTTTATCAATAAATATATTCTGCTCTTAACATTCATTGTTCCTAAAATTCATTCTTTGATTTTAGAAAACACAAAATCATACCAGACATATAGCAGTTTGGAAGTTTCATTCCCCTATATCAGTATAACCTATGATGAATAAAAAATAGTGCATAATGAAGTAGAAGGTGAAATAAATGACCCAAAAAGAGAGTCTGCACCTGAAATTTTGACTCACCACTGGATTCCTTTGAATCCCTATTAGTTCTAAATTATATTTAATCGCAAATAAACCATCTCTCTCAGTATATCTATAGAAGTTCAATTCATATAAACTTTTAAGGAATAGTATTATCCTTTAAAGTCTGAAGTGAAATGCCATCTATAGAATGAGAACAGTAGACTTGAAGTAAATATACAAAAAATCCTGTTCTGAAGTCAAATTAAAAGGGATAATTTTTTTGTGCAAAGAACTGAGAAAAGGCCATTTGAGAAGAAAAGGTATTAATTATTTTAGCTCTTGCCATCATTTTCACCAACTACACTGACTTAATAGTCTTTATGGAAATAACTCTCTTAGCTGAACATAACTGCTCAATACTTCAATTTGTCTACACAGTTATCATCTTATTTCTTAGCTTATCCTTTAAGATTCAGTGGCAAAGGCAATTTCCTTTTATGTTTGGCTGTGTAGTAGCTTGATTTTAAAAATACTCATGACATAAATATAAGGCAACGCACTAGGCTCTTTGGTATCTCCAAGTTGATTTGTTGTTTTGCTGACAAAGTATATATTTTTCCTAAGTGCCAAGTATTTATACTATGCTTTTTTTAATTTGAAAGTACAAACAGAAACCTAGCAGTTGCAAGATGTTCTTTGGAATTTTCTCTGGATTTTACAGTAGATTTATCCAGAAGCATTCAAATACTGTGCTGGAAAATAAATTTATATACCATTTTGTCTTATGAGGGAAAGTGAAAAAGCCTGATCTGTTCAAATGAAAACTCCAAATAAATGATTCTTTCTAATTATTGTGTAATAAAAGCATGAATGAATAAATTTATTGCAAGGCAACCCAGGTTCCAGTCTCATTCCAGCCTCTCAAAGAAGCTCAATTGTAAGTTCCTTTAAAATTCTTTTAATATTTTTTCTAGAAAGGAAAAAGTAAGAGTAAATACCATAGCTTCTATCTCTGTCTTACAAGATACTTAACCTTCAGTCTATCCCTATGATACAGCCTTTCTTTGAGATGATAATATCATCTGGAACTATGTTGATATAAATCACAGGAACAAGCATTTTTATGTACTCTCAGCTTAAGATAGTTAATTATATACTTAGAAGAATACAAACTCATAATAATGCAATAAATGAGAAAGATGTGATTGCAAAGCTAGAATTTGAATAAATAGTAAAAGAATAAGAGAAAAGACTGAGTCATTTAACCTATTTGGTTGTTTGATGCCAGCATTCTTTTTTCTAGGTTACAAACCTCGCACTGCCAAGCAAGAACAGGAAGATAAAGGCTGGATTCTAGGAAAGCATGACATTGTATTTGTAGTGTCACTTTAGTTCTTAGGAATCTGAATCCTAGAGAGTTAAAAAGACCACTTTTTCAAATGCTTTTTGACTGTTTAGCAGTAAACTGGGAGTTGAACTCAAATTTTTGAACTTCTACATTATTATAAATTCTATAAAACCCTGGTATCTAAGATATATGGGAAAATTACAGAATTTTATTTTAAGGAATTTTAGATGATGTAGAGATTCTAAATAGCTAGCACAGATTTTTCTTATGAGAATACATAACCACAGAATTCAAACTCTCAACTAGAGAAATCTTCTAAAAGTAGTTTTCTCATATAAACACAAATTACCTGAAAATAAATGAAGATCAGATATATTTGGAAGGCACTAGTGTGTATGCCACTCTCAATTAGCAAGAAGTTGAGCTTGTGGAAAACACTTAAGTACATTAAATTCATCAGGCAGTGTGGGTAATTTAAAACTCACACATATCCCAGTCATACAATGGGACAGAATTTCTTGGCTCAGGACTAATTGATCCTAAGCTCACTTGAAAACTGTTTTTTGTCAAAAATAGGCAGCTCAAGCCTGCCAGACCTTTCTTTCAAATTTTCCCCATTCTAGAATCAAATCATTTGAATTATGGAATGACAGAAAAGTTTTGGGAAAGAATTTTAGAGTTTCATTAATGTAAGTGTTTGATAAAATTAGAATTGATCAAATAATTCCATTTTTACCTCATATTTTGTACTTTCTTGATCTATAAAATCCTGTAATAGTTGTTTCCTTGGGTTATGCTTTGTCTCTCAAGATGCATTAGAAACAGTAAGGAGCCTGGTATCTAATAGACAAATTATGAAGCTGTTTAGCAATTCTTTTCTACTTTAACTAGATTCTAAATGTGATCATATTAACAGAAATGATTATTTTAATGTGTCTAATACTCACACTTGTTGAAATACAAATTATTGAAGATATTTCAACCCCACAAATTTGACTGCAGGAGATAATCAGGAAAATACGTCAATAAGAACAGTAATTCTCCAGTTAGGTCTATATAATAATTTGAATGTTTACTGAGATCTATTGGAACAGGAGAATTCTCTTTGCCTGATCTTACTCTAGAGCCAGTGAACCATTAAAATTAGAACTCAAAAAACTAAAAGTAAAAAGGATCTTCACTCCTTCATGTGCTCCACTATAGTTACATGTCGAGACTTTAAGGTTGGGTAGCCTGTTGGTTTTCTGTCTGCCACTGCTCTTACGATTAAAAAAAAAAAAAGTGGCTTTCACTTAGCTCATATATAATAGCATTAGTTAGAATCACAATGGGAGAAAAGCCATTCAGTACAGGCTTAGATGTACAGGGTGTGGGGCTGGGGATTTAGCTCAGTGGCATAAGCGCCTGCCTTGCAAGCAGGCAGTCGTGAGTTCGATCCCTGGTACCGATAAAAAAAGAAAAAGACAAAAAAAAAAAAAAAAAAAAAAAAAAAGATGTACAGGGTGTGACAAAGACCTAACCAAGGACAATTTTGGGCAAAATATGCTCTTGGTCCCTTGAACTCCTCTTTTGTTGTCACTCAATACTAGCCCTGTATCCTTCATAGATGTACTCAGTCTTTCCCGAGTTCAACATCTGTCTGTTGTTTGACAGGTATTAATATTCAAACATGATGTCTTAATTTATAAGCATACGTTAGGAAATATGAACATTTCTATACCTGGATATTTTAGGGATGGCCTTACAGAGACAACAACACAGTGCAAAGGAATGAGTTTAAAGCTTAAAAATAAAGCAAAGGCTATGTGGCTGCTAATAAAGACTTCTAGCACTCACACTGTATCTCCAGCCAACAGACTTCTGGTATTTATTCACTCTCACCCGTCTTCCTATTTCAGGTAAAGGAGTCTGAAAAACCAAGAGGAAAATATCATTAGATCCCTGGTATGCTTTGGAATGATTTGTGCTTAGGTTGTTTTGTGCTTGATAAAACTTGAGACCCTCTTACCTAAACCTCCCAAAGTGCTGGGATTGCAGTCATGCACTAAATGAAAGAGTAAGGTAATGCTACTTTTCCTTTGATATTATAAGTAATTTTGATCTAAAATCAGTTTCTTATTATGTTATAAACAAGGCACTCAATATATTGTGATAGATTTAAATGCCATATTAATGGCAATATTTCTATATCATATTGAAGTGCCATTTTTTCCCTACATAGCCAGGTCATGAATACTAACCATTTACTAGCTATCCATGATATTGAAATATTTCAAAATTTAGAATATCTGAAATACGGATAAAATATAGGTCTAGTTCTCTAAAGCTGAAACAAGGCAATAAGCATTTTCTATAATTTCAAAAAAAATACAGGATCAATTATTTGGAAGGCATGGGTTAGAGAGCAAAATGAAACCACAAAATCTCAAAATCCCTTGGAACTCACATTGGTTTACAACATTTGACACTTATTGGAAAAACAAAAAGTACACAACTATTTAAATAGTTTCAGTAATTCACTTCCTGAACAAAATGGAAAATAATCATTTAAAGCATGTACTATAGTTCATGAGTTTCTAATTTTTGAAATATAATTTGTCTTTAAGACATAAAGGAGTGAGAATCTTTTTGTTTTTTGTTATGTTCATGCTAATATTATTTCAAGAAAGTCAGATTTATATTCTAAAATGAAATCAAAACTTAGCAAATTCTATGACAATGTGTTAAAAATTGTGACACAACTTCATGAATACTAGTGAGAACAATGTCAATTAAACTTTTTCTCTTGCACATCTGTCAGAAAAATACATGAAAAATGTGCATCTCTAGCAAGTTCTTTACTTCTGCCTGTCACTGAGAATCTAATAGCCTCCATTCTCAGAAAGAACCATTGGAGAGAGAAGAGAATAGGATGAAACACGGACAGTTTAACACAGTATAGAGGAAATGCCTTTTTTGTTACTTTTGACAGCAGATAATCAACTGGAAATAGAACAAAATACAGATATGTTTTCTCGTATTTGTAGAATACAAAAATATATGGAATTTTTGATATGAGTATTTTAATGTGGGTATATAAGAAAATAAGTACACTACACCTGTGTTTATTAATAATATTAGAAAATTAAATAATCCAGATAACATAATAATTACGTAAGATAATACTTTTTCAACAGATGCAATATTTATTGAACTGCTTATTGCAAGAACATAGTCCTTGAAGCAAAGAACACAGATAAGATACGGCATTACCTTACGAGCATTCATCACTTTAACAGCCGTAAATGCACCAGTTTTTTCATGGAGTCCCTGAAACACCAGATAGTGATAAGCATATGTTAGTTATGCAATTGAGCTATCAAGAAGCAAGCAGAAAAAAAGAAAGAAAATTAAATAAACTTTACCAACATTTTAAAGAAACTCCAAATATTTCCCTCAAAAAAGCAAGCAAGTCTATGAAGTAGTTTTGTTTATGTTTATGTTAAGTATTGGACATAACTGACCATTTAAAGTTATTGTTTTAGGCTAGATTTGTTTGACCTCCACATACAAAATGAGAATTTCAGTTTAGGATGGCTCAAAAGGAGATGTTCTATTATATACATTTCAACTGATCCTATGGTAATATGCAAACACATTTTTTTACCGCACCTTTTTTCACACACATACATTTCTTTACAATAAGCTGTGCTGATTCATAGTTACTTTAACAGTCTCTAAAGTTCTTGATATGTTCTGAATGATGGGAACCAAATATTTTATGAAAATAAAAAGCTCTGGAAGATTCTTTCTTATTGGAAACATAATAAATTCTAAGAATTTAGTTTTCTTTTCTAAATGTAAGTGCAAGATACAGTTTACAACTTTAAAAGATGAACATGTAAGAATTAAATTATAGCTGCTATTTTGTACCTACTTTTAAAACATTTTTTTATACTGGAGATCAAACTTGGGATTTCATGCTTAGCAGGCAAGCCTTTGAGCTGATGAGCTAAATACCCAGCTCTAAAACATATTTCGAGCTGTGGCAATACTACCAAAAAATCAGCCCAGCATTACTCATACTTTAACATAAACAAAATGTCTTATCTGATAGTTCTCTAGAAAAAAGGATTTTGCTTTTTGGCTGTATTGATCAGTGTCTTCTCAAAATTTAAATTCATCTGGAACTGTAGATTGTGACCTTAGGTAGGACTGTGTTCTTTGCCAAATCAAATTAAGGTGAGTTGATAGTGGAGTAGAACACCAATGACTGGTATCACTTGTCTTAATTTGATCCGCTTGTTTGGACACAATTATATTATTTCGTAAGACTGTGACATAACTTGAACGTCAGCTGTGTTTATATAAATTATTAAATATGCCAGAAACTTTAAATTTATTTATATCATCAGGAGCAAATGTATAATAGTATTTTTCACTTAGTCCTTACCCCAATTTAGAAAGTGTTGCTTTTCTAATTATTCATGCAAATCATTCATGAAATCATTCATTAGGGAAATGCTTCCCATAACTGTACACACAAATATAGCATATTGGTAATTGATCTCACCTCTTAAAGGGTTACATCATTTCCTCCTAGATTTTAAAAGATAACTTATGGGTCAAACTAATATTGTGGGCAAAACAAAGCATTTGGATTATCAAGGATATTAGCCACACTGTGTCTGGTTTAACTAATAGCAAAATAAGAAAATTTTAATGTCAGAAATTCATGAGTCATAATTGCAATGCACATTAGTGCAATAACTGAATGCCACTAAATGGTGCTATCTATGGCCATAAAATTGAAAAAGTTGCTTTATTCCTACTCTGATTATATCTGATTCTCATTCGAGAATTACATAAAATTATACTGACAATGTATTCTAATGTGAGTTTTTAAAACATACTTACTATGACTGCAGAAAATGAAACCCTAAGTCTTGCAACTATAATGAGTTAATAAAAATCATTATATAAGATACTATAAAAGGATGGTATATATAGATAATAGATGCTAAACTATTGGTGCTCATGAGGCATTTCAGAGAATTTCATTTGTATCATGAGTGTTAAATCTTTTATTTGAAATAATTTTAAACTTAAACAATAGTTTCAAAAAGAGTACAGAGAGGGGCTAGGGATTTAGCTCGGTGGCACAGCTCCTGCCTGACAATGTGAGACCCTGAGTTCTCTTCTAGGTACTTTCCCCCTACTCTGAAAAAAAAAAAAAAAAAAAAGTATGGCCCAGTGTTTCTGTTTTTTCTTCACCCAGCTTTTCTGTTATTAATACAGTATATTTCATGGTAAAAGTACAATTGCCAAAACTAAGAAATACAACATATTAGCTAAATGATAGTTTAAAACACATTAACCATTAATTATAGTTAAATTTTCATCATGATCTCCCCAGTTCATCCACTAATGTCATTTTTTTCTATGCCCAAACTGCGATTTTACATTCTATCTAGCTGTCATCTTTCCTTAGCTTCTTCAATCTGTGACAGTTCCTTACTTGCATATATCTCATGACTGTTACTTTTCAAGAGTATTGGTGAAGTATTTTACATAATGTCCGGCCATTTAGGTTTTGGCTGATGTTTTCTTGTGTTTAGATTGAGGTCGCTGTTTGGAAGAATACCACAAAGATGAAATGTCCCTTTTTTCCACATCATATCAGGGATAAATGATATTACTGTGACTTTTCCTTCTATCCAACCTGCATCTTATTCCGTTTCTGTACTAGTCTCTTTTCTATTGCAGGTTTAACACTGGTTTTCAAGAGGGATAATACTATTGTTGAATAGCTATCCTGAGAACCTGAGTCATTTTTGAGATAAACTAATTGTTTAGTGGTGCCATCTTGTGGTTTACTGACTACATGGAAGATACTTGATGACTAGCTAAAGGTTATGTCATAAACAAATTGTTTCTCTAAAAACGATGCTGAAATAGGTCTTGTAAATCCAATTTTAAGGCCATCTAGTGATTTCAGTCACAGTGTGTATTGTGACAATTTTAAACACCATTTGTTACAAGCATACATAAAAACAGTGTCAAGAGATTTTGATTTAGGATACTAGATTGAATGTTAAATAAGAAAAATTGTCATATGCCCTAAAAAGTAACAGAAGAAACCTTAAATTACAAATGTGGGTTTTTTGTATTATTCCTACCAACAATATTAATAATACAAAGCAGACACTAACTGTATTAGATTAACAATGCTTCCTTCAATTTAATTGCAAATACTGACCATTATAATTTTTTTCAAATTGGTAAATAAAAACTGTATATACTTCTGATATACTAACAAAATGACTCATTATATGTACACACTATGTAGTGGAAAAACCAATCTAATTAACATACATACTACCTTACCTGTTTATTCTGGGGGCCAGTAATAAGAACACATAAAATCTACTGTCTTGAGTTTGAAAACTCCCAACAGAAAAAAATTATTAAACGTTGAAGGAGATGAAAGCAATAATTGCCCTGATGTTATCATCACGCATTGTACATATTTAACAAATTATCCCACTGTACTCTAAAAATGTCTATAACTGTTACAACCTAATAAAAATTTTAAAAATTACTCTTAGCAATTTTAAGTATATAATTTATTGTTATTAAAATCATAGTTACATTTTAGAGTAGATCTCTTGGATTGATTCTTTTTTCTAATTGAAATTATGTGTTATTTGAATAGCTTCCCCGGCCATCCCTTACAGTCTACATCTGTTCCATCTCTACTACTAAACATTTGTCAGTTTTTTTTTTTTAAATTCTTCATATGAGTGAGAAGATTTGATGTTTGTGTTTCTTTGCCTGGCTTATTTCACTTAGCATATTGTCCTCCAAGTTCATGTATGCAATTCAAAATGAAAGCATTACATCTTAAATAATTTTCAAACTGCAACTCTCTCTCTCTCTCTCTCTCTCTTCCTCTCTCTCTCTCTCTCTCTCTCTCTCTCTCTCTCTCTCTTTGGTACCGTGGATTGGACTCATGACTTCGTGCTTTCAAAGCAGGCACTTATGCCACTGACCTAAATCCTCAGCCTTCTCTCCCTCTCTTTTGTATCATAAGAAAAAATCCTGTTGGACTAATCTTTAATATAAGTTCATAGTCTCTTTGATATTTGAGAAACAGAAGATGTTATGTAATAACAACAGTAAGTAGACATCCCTGAGTCTATTATAGTCTGGGACAAATCTATTGTCATTTGGAATGGAAAGTCTCCCATCTTGATCACAGGAACTTACTGTCACAAAGTTAGACTCATTCAACATATTCAAATTTAGCTGTTAATAAATTAAGTTCATATGTTTTTATTTGAGAGACCAAAGTGGGCACCTACTCCAGATAATTTCTACATACCATAGGTCATAGTTACTTGCTAATTGTCGAGACAAAATATTCAATACTCGTAAGTTAAAGGAGAAAAGGTTTATGTTGGCCCACAGTTTGTAAAGACTTCAGTTCATAGTCAGATGCCTAAAAGGCAGTGAGTGTGGCATGATAGAGCAGCATGACAGAGAAGAAATAGTTCACAGCATGGCAGGCAGGAAATAGCATACCCTTCACACCTTCCTTCTCTTTTTATTACCTGTAGGCTATAAATCTACTGTTTGGTGCCACCTACATCCAGAGTATGTCTTTTCCCTTCAGCAAGTTCATCATCCACACAAACTATGTTAACCCAGTGATCCAACACAGGATCACACACCCAAGGGCTAGTATCACACACACATATTCCTCTCCTATGAGTCAATAAGGCTTTGGAGGAACATTTAGATATAAAACATAATGTTCTAACCCTGATCCCCAAAAGATCCATGCACATCCTTTTATGCAAAAGGCACTTAGACCATGTGTAAGAGTTACCAAAGTCCTCATAGTTTCAGCACTGCTGAAAAGTACAAATGCAAATTCTCTGACATTTGGGCAAACTCTTAGGTGTGAGCCCCTGTAAAGTTTAAAAGAAAGTTAAACACTTCCAATATACAATGGCACAAGGTAAAAGTTCCCATTCCAAAATGCGCAAATAGGAAGACAGAAAGGAAGGTGACCAGAGCAAGACCAAAATCCAGCAGGGCAAACATTAAATCCTGTGTTTCATGTCCAGAACTTGGGAAAATGTATGTTATGATGTGAACTATAAAAGGCTTGGGTAGCCCTGCACCTATGGCACTCTTAGTGGATATATCCCTCATGACTTCTCTCTTTGACCAACTGTTCACTCATGGGAGCTTTTGTTATATAACTATATTCCTGGATCTTCCAAACTTTTGGGATCTCCACTGCAATTGCAGCTTCACACACA